AGAAGGAGAGAGAGAGAGAGAGAGAGAGAGAGAGAAAGGGGGGAGGAAGGGAGGGAGGGAGGGAGAGAGTGAGAGAGTGAGAGAGGAAGAGAGAGGGAGAGAGGGAGGAAAGAGAGATGGGGGAAGGAGAGGGGGAGGGGAGAGGGAGAAAGAGAGAGCTAGCACAAGCAGAAGCTTGGCATTCAGTGTGGACACAGGCGCTAAGAGCTCAGGGAGGGTGAGTAAAAATGAAGTGTCCCTGCAGGGGCTGGGAAGGGACAGAGAGGAAGACAATGCCTAGAATCAGGAGCCTGAGATCTCCAGCATGGGAAAAGATTTCCAAAGAACTACTCAAAGTTGGCTAGGAAAAGAAGAGATAGAGAGAGGCTTTCAGAGAGACTGTGCCCTGGCTGAGACAGTCAGCTGGCCTGGAACCTGCCAGAGAGCAAGGAGGGAAGAGGAAAAGTGGCAGCACCCAGACCCGGGGGCTGTGTGATCCCTGCCTGGGGCCTGGCCTGGAACCAGAGAGCAGTGGAAAACTGCTAACACGGGCAGGGAGAAAAGTGCCTGGTCAGATGAACCCTTTATCTCTACACCTTGGCTGCTTTAGAGAAAGGAGGGAGAAGATTCAAGAAAAAGGAACCAAAGACTAGAAAGGAGCCTAGAAATGGGGAAAGGCAGAGGGAATAGCGTAGAAAAAAGGACCTCCCAGAGGTAAGAGCAGAAGAAATGAGGTAGCAGGCAAGGTGGAAGAATGGAGGACGATAAGAAGCAACATGTCAGCATGAGGGACTCCACTTGTAAGAAACGTCAGCTGAAACCAGAGCTAAGCCAGGCTTTGTTTAATGCTCAGGGACCCATGCACCTCAGGACAAGGCTAAGAACAGTTAAACATGAAAGTCAGTGACAGTGCTGCGGCAAGTGTACCAGGCAGCAACATGGACAGAAAGGAGACTAGCATCACAGGGCAGGGCAAAGGCCAAGAAGTGAAGATCGAAGATCGACTATTCCACCTGCCAGCACCTCTCCCCCACAGTGTGTATGTGTGTTGTGTTGTGTTGTGTTGTGTGTGTGTGTGTGTGTGTGTGTATGAGAGAGAGGGAGGGAAGGAGGAAGGGAGGGAGGGAGGGGGAGAGGGAGAGGGGAGAGGGACTCATTCTAATTCCTAAATCTGAAACAACTCCAGCCTAGAAGATGGCTCTAGGGCAGGCTGTTAGGCACTGAGAACCTGCCTGAGGAGGCGCAGTGTCAAGGCAACCCCACACGGTCTCGCTTTTCTGTGGATCCTGGAGTTGGCTTAGAAGTACGTTAGATCTGAGGGCATGTGGCTCCCAAGACATTGGGGTAAGAGTGCAGGACCCAGGTGAGGCTGCACCCAGCATACATGCATTTGAAACCGGATGAATCGTGTAAGAATACACTAACTGCAGTGCTGGTTGAGAACTGAGTTCTCGGGTCTGAGGGTGGATGGGAAGCTGGCCAGTGTGCAAGGCTCTCCAGATCACAGCATCCAGAGGCTCAAGGCCTTTCTGGCGCCTGACTGCAGAGAGGGTGGAACCCTTGAGACAACAGCCTCAAGCCATCAACTTTCAGACAGAAATCACTTCACAACACCACCCTTCCAGTGGTCAGCAGCCTTGCTTCCTTCACCATCAGGAGCCACAGTGAGGACAAAGGCAGATGATCTCAGAACCACAAGCTTTATTAGCTGAAAGCTCTTCTCATGAACCCAGTCGGCTGGGACTGGATGTTCCTGGATGGGCAGCCCTAGTCCTTCGCTAGGAAATGAGAAAGGGGAACAAAAAGAAAGAGAGTATTAGGTGGTGGAGTGTCTGAAGTAAAACCCCTGACAGAGTTGAAGGCGAGGTTCTATTTTAAAACTTCTTTCATAGACACTTTGATCAGTAAACATCAGAACACAATGATCATGAGCACATACTGCATTCACTTCTTCACTCATCCATCCATCCATTCCAGAAAGACTGCACACATGCCTGTGTGGGCTGCTGTTTGCTGTACTTCTCACTAGTGAAACAGCACTGAAAAAGGAATAGTGTGTCTACTGAGGACAGGTGTGAGAGAATGGAACTTTTCATGTTCTTCGGGCAGGAACTACAGCTGCTTGTGGAAGCTGTAACTCTTGGTCACACCTTTGTCTTTATTCTTCAAAAGAAGACAGTCTGGACATTCCCAACCCCTAGTTACCCAGAGCTTTCAGTGCAAACAACTGAGGGGCACTACCTCCAGGTTTCGTCTGGCCTTCCGAAGGACTTGGTGGGTGATGACCACTGAGGAGAAAGCAAAGAAGGGAGCAATTAGAGCCATACACCTCAGAAGAGTAGAATGAAAACAAAACCAGTGAGGGGGAAGCCTGGGCCCAGACAACTGGACAACTTCAACAGACCCATGCTTGAACACATGACCCTCTGGTAGTGCTATTTTGGAGAGTGTCCTGCTTTTAAAGAAATCTGTGGCAAAAGGCAACATTGAGAAGGGTTTATGTTAGCTCACAATTCTAGGTTACAGTCCATCACTGTAGATGTCAAGGCAGCAGGAGCTTGAAACAGCTGGTCACATCACATGCACCGTCAAGAGCAGAGAAGCACATTTTCTCTACTCCTCCCAGTTCAGAATCCCCTGCCCAACTAGGGACTGGCCGAGCTTTAGGGGCTTTAGTAAGACAGCCCCTACAGACATGTCCACATGCCAACTCAATGTAGACAATCACCTATTGAGACTCCTCCCAGGTGATTTTTAGATTATGTAACATTCAACTTAGAGATGATCAGCATAGAGGCTTAAGAAACCTCTGGGACTGTGACCTAGCTAGCAGAAGTGGGCTGCTGGTGCCAACACTTGAAAGGATATGCACTCTGGCTCTAGCGAACACTTGATTTCTGATCCACCGAGAAAGAAATGAGCTATGAGCTTCCACTACCCAGACTGTGCTGCTTCTGTATACCTTCCTCACCATAATGGACCATATTCCACCAAACCATGAGCCAAAAGGAATCCTTCCTCCCTTATATTGCTTCTCTTAGGCATGCTGTCACAGCATTGAGTAAACAACACAACAGCCCTGAGCCATCGAGACAAGAGAAGTATGAAAGCCTCACTGTCCCTTTTCAACTCCCAGTGCCAAATAACATTATCTGGGAGGGTGGGCCATGGACAACACTTCTTCAAGTTCTCACAGGGACCCAAAGGGAAGAGCATGAATGCTAGCTATGTTTCAGAGGCAATGCCAGGCTCTGACTGGCCACATGGATCACCTTCTATAGATTGGGAAGGATGATGGTGCTGGGCAGTGGAGAGGGCAGGATCTGACAGTTCCTGGCTTCCTCTGGTGTCCTGGGCCCACACTTGGAGGGAAGTCCTGCCAAAGCATAATTTTACACAGCCTTTCTTCAAGCATGCTTCTGGTATCTGGGAGAACAAACTCAGGGCATTTTTGTTCCCTCCTGCCCTTCAGCTGGTGGAACAGCTCAGCATGGTTCCCCAGCCAAGCTGTGTTCTGTCTAAACAGGAGTGGGGTGAAGGGATGAATTCAGAGGCCCCTGCTCACTGACACTTGAGCTATGTCAGAATTTGAGAACAGGAGTGTTTACCACCCGGAGCAACCTTGCACAAAGGTAGTTTCTTCCATAGTCCCGTCTTGTCTAACAAAGACTAAAACAGTGTCAGGTTTCTGAGCCAGATTAGGAATCTAGAGGCAGAACTTGTGATGATGAGAGGACTGCCATGAGTTTGAAGCCAGCTTGGACTCGAAAGAAAAAATAAGAATCCACTCTAACTAGGACCTGGTGAGGGCAGAGGAATACCCCGTGCCTCAGCATCCAGCTCTCCTTGGCTCATGCTTGGAGAGAGTCTCTGTGACTCACCCCAGCACATGGCCCACTGCTCACCTACTCAGAATAACTGTTCTGTGGTTGTCTGGAGGAAATTTTTTTGTTTTACAAAAAAAAAAAAAAAAAAAAAAAAAAAAAAAAACATCCATCTGGATACAGAGAGGTCAACAGACATAGTGAGCTTCATTTCTGTCTGAGTAAAAAGAATCTCATAGGTGTTCTCTGCTCTGTCTCCACCCTACCCCTGCCTTCAGGGTTCACAGTGTGCCCTAGGAAGCCCAATATACCAGACCCAGCATACAGTTCAGTTCTGGTGTAGATAGAATTTGTGAATCTTTCTGGCACAGACCATCACTGTCTCAAGATCCACCAAGGGGCCTGTGACCCAGAAAAGGTTGTCATGACATGGAAGTTAAAAATAATCTTAAAAGATCACTGGATGTACCCAGTGAGTCAAGCTTAGCATAAGTGCTAAGGATCCCTGGCCCAGGTTTTGAAGTCTCTCTTACATCTAAACAGATACATCACCCATGTTCTAACATTCAGAAATTCCTGCTGTGATGAGAAGACAAGGTTCAGAGTGGTAAAGAATACATCCCAAATCAGACTGACCTGAGTGCAGAGACAAGGCACACACATGGGCTACCTAACTCAGTCCAAGGTCCTCCCACCCTTCCAGAGACTGAAAAGGAAAATGCTCACTGGCCAGAGGACATGTACTGACTCACTGAAGACCTCAACCCTTAACTTGGCAAAGGAGGACCTGAGGCACAGAAGCAAAGTGGGAAGTGCCAGGTCATGAGACTCGTGAGTGGTAGGGTCCCAGGTTCCCATGTCTCATCCTTTCCCTGCTCACTCCTGCAGATTCTTAGAGGAGGCAGTGTCAGACCAACCACTGAGGGGCAATCCTGCATCTTTCTCATCCCCATAGCCATGTGGAGAAGGGGGGTAGAGGACACTATGTCAATTGTCACTCTGTCACTTTAAAACCAGGAACAGAGAGTTGGCAGGTTGGAGGGCTTAGGGATATCCAGGGACTTAGCTCAATGGAACAAGAGGCAGGACCAGGCATAGAGGTATCACAGGCCAGACCCATGCCTAGGGCAAGATCCTCACCCTGTCCTCGGTCAAGCCAGCTCCAAACAGGCCTATCAGAAACTGATGGCAACACTGAACAATTTCCATGAGCAGCATTATGTCTAAATGACTGAAAATGGGGACAACCAGCATCTGTGGGACACCTGTTCTGTCCCCGACATTGGTAGGACCACTCTCCAAATTCTACAGATGCAATTGTAATCATTACCCTGGCCACTGTGGCCAGCTGTGCTTAAAATTGCTGTCTCTGTTTAGAGAGGAGGAACCTAAAACTCAAGAGTCAGAGCCACTTAATGCATGTCACACACGAGGGTAAACCTGAGACCTGAGCACATTCCCAGTCTTACACACTAACCCAGGATTCGGCACGGCATGGTTCTGGTTTTCTCATTTGCCACAGTAGGGTCACCACCTGAGCTGAATTCTGCTGGCTCTTAAAATTGCTCATCTGAAACCAGAATAAGCAGTAGGAGGCTTATGGCTGTTCGGGAGGGAACCTGTGCCAGAGTCTATTGCCTGGACTCAGGCTGTGTGAAGCTCCACCTCTTACTCTGCCTTGAGCAAGCCCACAACTATCACTGTCACCTACATCTCTAAAGGCTCCTCTTTTCCACAGGTGACATAAGTCTCTAAGCCAAATCAACGATATCCTGTCTGTTGGGCAGTCATCTGTCTTTCAAGTCTATCCTTCCTCCACAGCCCTGAATGCTGGAGGAACTGTCATAGATCTTCAAAGCCGCTGATATCACAAATAAACCACAGCAAATCCTGCTATTCCTCCTTGAGCCCAGCCACAAGCTCTCTGTTCCATTTTCCCTTTGTTAAGGCTTGGACGCCCATATTTGAACACTCAATTTCCAACTCATGGGACTATTTGGAGAGGTTGTAAGGTAAGACCTGGCTGATGTGACTGGGCCACTGGGACCAGGCCTTGGGGATGATAGGTTGGTCCCTCTAATCTTTGTCTGCGTTTTGTCTGTCACATGATGTGACTAGCTACCTTCATGCTACTATTCCCACATGCAGGAACTAATCCTACTACTATGTCCACACCATGGTGACTTCATTCCCTCTAAACTGTGAACCAAAACAAACCTAACCTTCCTTAAGTTGCTTCGGTCATGGACTATATCACAGGACAAGAAAACTAATACACTGTTGCTCAAGTGAAAGCCTTGACATGTTTTTTAGCATCCCTGGAACACTGACTGTGCTCTTGCTTATGGAGGTAGGTATGCCAAGGAATTCAGTTCCTGATCTTTTGCTGTCTGAGTGACATCCACCAGGGCCAATCAGATTTAATCTTGGACCAAAGTCTCATGCCACCTTCATGCTGTCCCAGGCAGGCCCTGAGTTGATAACCCTGAAGCTTTATGCCACCACCCCCATCCCAGATCCCTCAGGAAGTTCAGGGTCCTTGATGACAGAAACTACCATTCCTCTATCCTCAGAGTCCGTGAAAAGGACACAGGACAGGAGCCCAGGACCAGGCCATAACCGAATTTCATTCATTTGCAGTTCAAACCCTTACTAATCTCATAGCCTTTTTCAGAAGGTTCCCAGAGGGCAACTAATGAGACCATCTACTTAGCAATAATCTATGCCCTATGCTTCTAAGAAATGCTGCTGAGAGAGCAGCCCTGAGCTGTGGTAGTGGACAAAGGAAGGTACAGTTGGTGATACTCCTAAGACAGGCAATCTGACAGGTTGAGAGCATGGGCAAAGCCAGGACTGAGCTGTTGGAGAGCCTGGTGGAAGCTGCTTGTCTCCACACACTGGTGAGGAGTGCCGCAGGTTTGAACACAAGGCACACAGTGGTTAAAAGTCTCTGATGTGGCTTGGTTAGAGCCAGCACTGACCTTAAGCGGTCTTCCTTCTCCGCTGAAGCCCATGGTAGGAGCACCATGCAGAGCTTTCACCAAAGCATGCCAGGTTATCCTCAGCAGAAGGGAGCCACCTTCATCTACCCTGGAGGTTTCTTGCAAGAGGCTCTGGTCTCTGGTCTCTCTGTCTCAGCCTTGCATAGCTTTTATGTCATCAGCAAGATCATTTTGGGTTCTCACACACAAAGCCTACTCCTCCTTTTCATCCTTCAGGTCCTGTCCCAGACCACCATTCCTTCTTCCAGATGACACTGTCTATTCCTTTCAGAATCATCTCAGGGGGTCCTTCCTCTAGGACACCCACCATGCTCTCATAACGCTCAATCTGTCACCCTAAGAGAGGATATTCCTGGCAGAACTGACTGTGTAGTTCAAAAAGGGTGAAGCAGGAAGAGAAACCCTCAAGAAGGTGGCATGATCTCAGAAGCCTGGACTGTGAAGAGTGTAAGCCATGGCTGCACTGACCAGAGGCAGGCAATGCTCAGCTGTGGCAGCCACCCCTTCCTCTACTCACACTGATCACAGATGACTTTCTCCTGATGCTTTTTCTGCTGCAGAAGTTTTGCAGTGTTCTGCAGCTTCTTTTCTTGTTCAAACAACTTTTTGTGTAGTTTGGTGATCTCTGCCTTCATTTCTCCAATCTAAAGAAAGAAGTATTAGAAAAATATAACATAAAAACACTAGATTATACAGAAAGAACTAAAAGTAATATTAAAAGATGCTCAACTTCACCAGCAAAATATCTGAATGAGTTAGAAGCCCCCTTTTGAACATTGCATTAGCAAAACTGGACAGTATCCAGGGTGAGTAGGAAAACTGTCAGGACTGTCGTAGCGCTTGGGATGTTTGTAGCCCAGTGAGAATGCAAAATTTCCCAAATTGTAAATGCATGTATCTCTCGGACCTTGATGTTCTGTACTATAGCATCTACCCCCAGGAATAATCTCATCAGCACAAGATGATGTCTTTCTCCATGGGCACTCACCTTAGCTCTGCCTGTGGCAAGAACAACAAACTGAGTTGTTTCACATTAATCTGAATAAATAAATTGTGGTACTTACATTGAAAAACAGAATTGTGCAGCTATTAAAAAGCATGCTGTAGAGATTTATTGATTTCAAAAGATGAATATAATTAGTGAAAGAAAGAGCCCAAATCAACAGACTGAATGCTATATTTGAGGCACTTCTGTTTCATAAAAGGAAAACACAGATACCTACAGCTATAAACATATATTGATGTGGTAACCAAACATTAATGATGAGTTTTAAATTTTATATTTCTTTTTTGTTACCAGAAGTCATAATGCTGATTCAATTTTTTTTTCTAATGCTTTAATCTTAACAATATTCAGCAAGTACGGACCAATTTTGTTTTGTTTTGTTTTGTTTCTCATAGTGGAGTGTAGATGCCAAATCCACCATCCTGTGACAGGGCACAGCAGAGACTTCCTGAACTGGCCCCAGAACTATGGACACCCTTTTCTCTCGGCTACCAAGAAGGGACACAGGAAGTTGGCAGTTTGTTTACAAACTTGTTTATGGCATTTGTGCCTTCAATAAATAAATAACAGAATCTAATTACATATTAAGTTGACCTGTGAGCCACATATTTGGACAGAAAGCTGGCTGTATGGAAACTAACATATGCTTTATGGGAGACCAGATAAAGGCAAGTCACTGCAAAACACTTTGCTGGCAAATTAGGTGTGGGCGAGACAACTGTAAAAGATGTAGGAGGAACAGTGTATAAGAATTCTATATTCAGATTGCTCTGCAAGTGCCTTAAGTTTCTTCTTCATCTTAAAGAAACAGAAATTGGTAGTGTCAGAAATACATTATGGATGTGGTTTGTGAAAGAAAGATGAGGAACTCAATCAGCAGACCCACATTCAAAGAAAAGGCCTGGCCCCACATCAAAAGAAGAGCAAATGAATGTACATTTATCTGTTTTAAGTTAAACTAAAATGTTTAAGGTTTGTATCGTTTTTGTTTTTTTTTTGTTTTTTTTTTTTTTGATTCCCCACCTCAACTTTTAAGATTAACCAATCATGTCAGGTACAAAGTCTTCAGTGCTTCCTCAAAAGGACCCTAATTTCATCATTAGGTTTGCTTTGGTTCTCTAGTACAAGTCAGGAGCCATGAATACTCATGATTTCACAGGTCACACATCCTAGGACAAAGCCACCCTACAGTTCTGCATCTGTGACACTGAAATATAAACCCCTGGCTCATCTTTCACACTGTAGTGAAGTGAGATTCAAAGGACATGATGGAAACCTGGAAGGCAGTATTGGGGAAAGATGGGCCTTTCCTAGCTTGCCTGGTTCATCACTTTGCTCTTTCTATAGTAAGCTCAGCATAGAGCTCACATAGGAAGGAGTAATTTTGCAGTTAAAATGATGTTTCAGGGCTTTATTGATAGTTACAATTCATGTTTGTAAAAATGAACAGCCTCTATCTATCTATCTATCTATCTATCTATCTATCTTGATATGGCATTAAGAATTAATGTTAGTATTTCCAAGGGATATGACTTCAGGCTGTCTAAAAAGTATTGTGTGTGTGTATGTGTGTGTGTTTGTACACACATATGTGTGTGTTATACATACTCATGTGTGTACGTGCACATGTGCTTTTACCTGTGTGAACATACATGCAGAGGCCAGAGAACAGCACTGGGTGTTTTTTTTTGCAGTGTTCTCCATCTTATTTTTTGAGGCAAGGTTATCTCACTGGCCCTGAAGCTCACTGATGAAGCTTAGGTAGTCACTGATTTCTGCCACTACCCCGTCCCGTTATGGTGAGGTCACAGATGTACACTTTCAGGCCCAGAATTGACAAGGGTGCTCCGGTCCTCATGCTTCTAACAGTACTTTACCATCTGAGCCATCTCCCTGGCCCTATTCATATATTCTTTAAAGGTATAATGCTGATTTAACAATTCAACTAACACTACCTCCCTACTGGGAGCTTAGGAAGAAATGTCATGGTAGATGGCAGCAAGGACTCCAACCAGCAAAGAGCTTCTCCTCTCTTCTCTCTGAATACCAGTACCTATTGAAGAGCAGGTGTCAGTATCCAGCTTGCAGGCCATTGCTTACTAGCTCTCGCCTAATACTGTGTATCTTCAAGTTAGCACTTACAGCAAGGAAATTTAAATATTTATGTCTGCTGTTCAACTGGAGTTAGATCTTCCTGTTTATCTTATGACGAAAGTATACTACTGAGACAGCAAGATTCTAGAGCCTGGCTCTGCCACTTCCTGGCCACACAATTCTGAGGCAAGTCATGTTGGCTCCTACTCCAGCTAACAGTGAGGCTTTTGAATGATTTCAGCCCTAGGAAATGACCTTACTATTACACATTGTACACATGTATTGGAACATTACAGCATGTCCCATAAAAATGTATAATTGTGTCAATTAAATATCAAATATGTTAATCTTTGAAAATATGAATATGACACCTTGACCTAATTGTTCAAATATATATTCCATTTGTGAATTTTTAAGAAAAAAGAAAACTACCTAAGTCCCTGAGGCCACAACAAGGGATAAGATTTTAGTGTAAGCAGAGTATGTGCCACCAAGTAGTCACTTAGGACCAACAAACAGAACTGAAAGACACCCCTCCCAGAGGCCACACATGCCATCAGTGCTCCACCTGCCTGCTGGAGTAGATTATTCTTTTCCTGGTTATCCCCTTCCTTTTTATGATGAACATCTCAAATACCTATAAAAGGCAACAGAATTGGATAGGAATATCCAGGAACCCACTCAGAACCAATGACTATCAATTCAAGGCCATACTGGTTTAGCCTCCCTCCAAAATTATTTTGAAACTGACCACGTCATTTCATTTATAAAATATTTTAGTATACATCACTTAAAAAGTTTTTTGAACCTGTAACAGCATTAGCACACCTAGAAAGTGAAGATAACTCCTGAGTCCCTTTGAACATGACTAATCTGAAGACATAAAACCCCAAATACCAGTCTTTTAAAGCAATTTTATTAAAAATGCTCAATCTATAAAAAGTCTATCAAATTCTGAAAAATAACCAAAGTCAGACTTTTTTTTTTTTTAAATATAATCCATTCAACTCAGCATCCAAACAAGAACTACATTGTTAAAAGCTACTTTCTTTGAGAATCTGTGGTTCTCAAAGTTCCTGGGAGTTGACAGATAGCCCAAGCTGGTAGAACTGAGGCCCTGACAGCTGCACTTCTCAAAAACTTCCAGGGTATGCTCTGGTGTAGGTCCAGGATCCACCTCCTTCTTCCCCACTAGGATATGTTCTAAGCTCATCTTATGTTTCTGCCCAGACCTGAAACAAGCCATTTCCAATAGGAGCCCTGGCCCGAGCCCTGGCCCAACCCCTGGAAAGAGGTCATTAGAATCAGCCTTAGGATATCTAGTGTGCTTGCAGCTCTGAATCCAATTATTTCTATAGCCTTTTATATGGAATGATTCAGTCAATTTTTACAACAGAAAATGCATCGTGAGTTCATTTTTATGTTTGTAATTCAAAATTAGGATTATATGATTTTCATTTCTCTGATTTCATATTTATTCTTCTTTCAGTAAAACTCTCAGTTCCTAATGAAATTATGCATTGTTTATCTTATATCACAAATGCAGGCACCTGCTCCAAAGCTCCTAAGCTAAGGTTAAGCCTCAGGCCCCACATGGTGGAAGGAGTGAACTGACTTCTCTATGTTGTCCTTTGACTTCCACATGCATGTCAGTGCACAAGCATGTGCCCATACATAAAAAATAAATAAATGTAAAGAATTTACAGTTATCTTACAACAGGAATGTATCAGAATCTTAACATTAGTGTTTGCGAACAAAACTGTTGAAAACTTTGTGCTTTGGGGGAAACCTGTGTGGTGTATCACTGCTCCCATGGCTATGTCCCCAGCGATACACAGTATGACTGGCTGATTTCCCACTGCTGTGAACTTTTAGGCATTGCTCCTTCACCCTCATTTTGATTAATTCTATTTATAATTATATAAAGTTTAATGTGGCTGCAAGGTCAAATCTATAAAACAGTGTTGATTTAAAAAATGGTCTTCTACCCTTGACGCTCCAAGCTAGCCCCTCACAATCCCAGAAGTCTCCTGTTTTAAGAATATGTCTACATTTGGTAACCCTTCATATACGTTTCTCAGATAAACTGATGTACACTTTCCAGAGCAAGGGGCTGAAGGGGGAGGTGAATTAAATATAAAGGTAAATAAACAGCACAGAGAAAAGAGGAGGCTGTCAAGTACCTAGGCTTGCTGCTATAAACTCAGAAGTTTGCTTTACACACACCAAGCAAAAGGTGCCACATGAAGAACAGGCGGGGAAAAAAAAATGTGCCCAGAGGCAACTCCTACCACCCAGGAGTCCCTGTACACAAGCAACCACATTGGTGCATTTCTGAGGTCTTCCTCAGCTCTGAAATTCTACAACATTGACATGAAGATAATCAATTACCCAAGACACCTTTAGGAAGAAGGGCGAGTCGTCACAAAGACTGACAGTCCCAAGACTGATTTGTAAGTGGAAGAGTATCAAGAGGGCTACAAATTGTGTGTGTGTGTGTGTGTGTGTGTGTGTGTGTGTGTGTGTATGTTCGTGTCTTTGTGTGTGCATGTACTAGACACAAACTAGATTCTGTCTACTTAGCAAACATCTGCTTCTGTCTAAGGGCAAAAACATTACACTGATGGTAAATTGTTTAGCTCAGACATGTTAACTTTAAAATAATTTAAAGGAGGCACTGATTTTGGAGAGTGGAAAGAAATTATTCATTCATCCATCTAGTCATTCATTCATTAAAAAATATGAACAAACCAGACACAGCCCCTGAAGGAAAACAGAGAGAAAGGCATTAAGCAAACAAATATATAATTACCAAGTTTTATAAGGGCTTTGATAAAATAGAAGATGATGTTATGGCAGAGTGATCAAGGAGCCCTCTCTATTTATGTAACATGTAAGACTTGAGGATGAGAGGCAGCTAGCAGAGACGTACAGGACATAGATAACAGGGAGACTGTGTCATGTAAGAGTCTGTGGCTTAAGAAAAAGAAGAGGCTAGAGCTCAAGTGGTTCCATTATCACTCACCTTTCAACGAATGCTCCACCAACTAAAAGTGGCCTGGGAATGACTGCCCTATGCCACACAAATAATTATGAACATCCTTGAGCTTAGTGTATCCAAATTGCTCATTTCGACACTTGTGTCATGGGAACTTTCAGTACAAACAACCTCCTTGCCAGGTTCTGGGGGTCTGAGAGCTGCCAAAACTAAATAGGTGGTGACCTGAAATGCAAACAAACTTCCTTTCTGCCTTCCGGCTCACGTTCGGAAAACACTTATCCATCCAGTCAAATGAGGTAGGAAATATCCACTGGGCTACAAGCAGAGCTCTAACACCCTTTTGCTTCTCTGTAGGGAGGCTTGTGAATAGCCAGGGTATTGTAGAGTGTGCCAGGACATACACGAACCCCAAAAAGTCAAGACAACACTCCACCTGCCTGGCTCCTGACCTTTTACTCTCAAATAGTTAAAATAGCTTTCACTAAAATCCATATATCAGAAGATCCAGACAGAGATAGCTAAAGTGCAAAGTACTTCTAGGAATACGAACAAGCTGGTCCATAAGGACAAACTCACATGTAAAACATCAAGTCAAGAACAATCCCAGAGTTCACCTATGAATGCTTTCAAATCAGCCCCACAACCCAGGCCCTGAATCTTACTTTTCTCATGTACAAAGTGTGAACAGGATCCCACTCAATAATGGCATTCTAGGCATTAGGTAAGAACTTAGTGTGGCTCCAACACTGCTGGTACCATTCCCTCTGACACATCCTCAAGGTGGAGCACATTAGCTGTAGGCCAGTCCTAGACTGGTCAGAATGAGCCGAGATGCAGACCTCTCTGATATACTTGAGCCTCTGAGCATGTGGGATCACCTACCTGCTCACAGTGAAGGGAACACTGGCCGTCTGTGGGGACTGAGACCCTCCAGAAGAGCTTCAACAACCTTGAGGATTCTTCCAGAATCTGCTTGGCTGCATTGATGCTGGAGAGAAACTTGCTCAGAGGCACAGCGTGTGAACCCTACAAAGGATAACAAAGCTATTACATGCCACTGTGACAGGGATCCTTCACAGACAAGCACCAGAAGCCTCCGACTAGGGCTCCTGTTTCAACATGATGAGCAGAAGCTGGGGTTACGTGATACTAGTGAACTGAGAAGAGAATTTTGGTAGTAAGTTTAGCCCAGTTAGTAACCATGATTAGTAACCCATGGTAGGACCATCCAGACCACCACAGAACAAATGACAGCAACAAAGCCCAGGGCACAAGACAGACAGTTTAGTGAGGATGTATGGGCCTTTGGAACCTCTCCCTTTCAGTGCAGTAGGTACTCTCACATGGGGAGAGGTGTCAAAGGCAAGAGAAAAGAAAAAATGTGGTCCAGCGGAAGAGGGATAAAAAAGAGGAAGAGGAAACTTAAAAGCATTTCTCTTTACTATTGATAAATATAAAACTACACACCTGTTTAGATAGCAGAATGACAAAAATATGAATATTATTCAACAAAGACAAAGGTGTACCGAGACAGAAAACAGCTCTCTGGAGATAACATGTTAATAGTTATCAAGATTCCTAAAACCTTTACAACCTTGAAACTGGAAAACCCACTTTACACCTAATCAAAACACCATCAGAGATTTGTACAAAACATGACTCAGTGTAGTTGACATGCCCACAAACAGTGAGAAAGAGAATAGCCCATGCTATGTCCACAGTAGCTTATTGGCAGCCACTGAAAAGGCAAGTGCTCAAAAGGAAAAGTATTAATACCATGTATATACAAAACCCATATTTCTGATTATTTGATAAACTATGAGTGTCCCAAAAGTATGTATGTGTTTACCTTTGTATATTACACATATATACACACAAATTTAAGTGTTGACCTTTAAGCGGTATTTGAAGAGATATACTGTTTTTTATGCTTTTCTAAAACTTTCAGCTTTCAAAACAAGGATTTTTATCAGAAAAGTACAGCAATCTTATTACTGCTAATTTATTCAATATTATTTACCAAGCACCTATTCTATGCAAGGCTTAAGGAGACTAGGTACTGGTTATTTAATGTTCCATAAAAACACTATCCCTTTTTCTCAAGGAGCTTATCATCTAGTAGAAGATAAAATGCAAATTTGATTCTTAAATAGAGTAAAATGAAAAAAGCAAAGCCAAAGCAAGTGCCACAGGAAATTCAAATATCTTTGGTAAAAATCCAGAGCAACTGAGGAAGTGATTCAGCGGATGAGAAAGTGCTTGCTGAGCAAGCATGTAGATAAGAGTTTGATCAAGAATCATGTAAAAGCTGGGCAGGTGTGGCGGCCATCAATAATCCCAGCACTAAGGAGGGAGAATTATCTTGACTCTCAAACAAGCTGTCTACCTACACTAGTGATCAGTGAGGTCTGGGTTCAACTGAGAAACTCCACCTCAATAAATAATGCAGACAGCAATGAGACTGGAAGTCAATACCTCCCCACATATATGCACCACACATATATATGTGACCACACACGTGATCACATACATAATATATATGTACACTCATATCATACCTACATACACATGCAAAGGGAAAAAAAAAAAACCTTAAAAGTGGGATCTAGATGCTATAATAATGAAAGCTCAAAAGTCTAATACTATTCTCTGACCCGGTGTTTTGGAGGAAGTGCATGGCTGGTGTCTGTCAAACACATGATGAGTTGTGTCTGTCAGGCATATAAGTCTGTGACAAAAGACAACTTGAGATGAGGAGAATGAGGTAGGGAGAAGAGGGGAGTAGACGCTTGGGAATGGCAAGGAAGAGGAGTCAGGAGAAGCAGGCAGGAGAGAGATATGGTGGGAAACAGGGACTGCACTCTGTGGCCCTGACTGTTCACAGTGGGACATGCCAGGGAAAGAGTGGTGACTATTGGTGGGCAGACTGACTGAAGCTAGCCCAGCAACCAGTGCCCTCAGAGTTGCTGCCCAGACAGAAGTGGAGTCAGTTGGCCAGCACTGTCCAGAAAGGCAGCACTGTTACAACAGAGAGCATGTTGTAGGACTGAGAAAAGTTAGTTTCCATCATCTGTACAATAGACTGGTATCTCATCCTTCACAGGGTTGTTCTGAGGAAACACACACATACACACACCCTCTGAAGGAAGATGACCATAAGTAGACACAGAACATCTCTCTAAACACATGCATCACAGAGTGGTCGTAAGAAATTATAGTATGGCATAGTAGATGTCAGCTCAGTGTGGCAGGGTACAGTTTTGCCAGGTCTGGTACCGTGTACATGAAGGTCAGGACCTCTAACTGCCCCACAACAGTCCCAGAGCCAAGCAGGCAGTTCTTCCCAGAAGGTGTGTAAGTGGAGGGGTAGAATGACTGGATACAAAAGGACAGAGGGACAAAGAGTGGCTGAGAGCCTGGAGAGAAATGAGAAGTCACATAGCAGTGCAGCACCTCACTGAGCAGTGGCCATAATAACCCAGGGCACAATCTCAACACGCTATTCACTGATCATCAACAAACAGCCCTCATCACCTCTGGGCTTTCATGTGCAACAGCTCCCAACCCCTCCCGTTTGGGGCTTTACTGGAATCCGGGTATTAGGAATTTTCCAGAGAATGTAGCCAGCCCCTCTGCTTACTCACAGCAGGAAGCATCTCCCTCTATCTGTCCTGCACTCAGGTTACCTGTGAGTCCAGCTTTTGAGTTGTGGGGCTCAGAGCCTCTTGAGTTTGAATGTCCATCTTCGCAAGCAGTCTCTGACCCCGGCTAATCTGCTTATGGAGGGCATCATAGTCCTCAATCAGGCCCAGCATATGGGGGCCACTCTTGCTGGCCCACATATGGTGGCCAGCAACCACACAGGGCATGCAAGTGGGACTGGTGGCATAAGTGCTACTGTCACAGGAGAGGGAGTCAACGTCAGTTCCGGAGAGCAGAGGAGTCTCAGAAGCTACAAACAAAGTGGTAAAGGTTAGATCTTCTTGCGATGGCATCTGCGTTCCTGGAGTTATACTGAGAGAGCACAGCTGCAAAGGGGTCTGGCTCTGAGCCTCCAGCTGTGTTACCCAATGTTGGGCAAAGACTGAAATCGACTTAACCAATATTTATCGAACACTCACTCTGTAGTAGACTCTAGACTACCACAATAAGCCATGCTGTCACTTGCATGACAAAAGTTCAGGATCTAATGGGAATACTGAGGCTGAGGAAGTATAAACACACAGTGCATGGCAGGAGTGAGCCAGAGCTCAAGGGAAAACAACTGTCTGGGCAAAGAGAGAAGTCAAGGAAGACTTTCTGGAAGAGGTGGCATGAGCTGGACTGGACAGGCAGCCAGCATTATGCAGACAGAAAATCCTGTTGCTTTTTAACTTGGTTGATTCTGACTTGGGCAGCTGGAGAGGCATTTTACAGAGAAGTCTGCACTCTTGAGTCTTGAGGAAGTGGGGGGACCTGGACTGGTGTAAATTAGAAAATGTGAGACTTTGAAAGTGCAGTCCAGAGGCAGTAACTCCTCTGTGTGGTCACCCACTAGATCCCAGAGACCCTGCAATCCACACTAAGGTGGTTTTAAAGCTTAAGTTTAAACCCTTGAAGTTGTACTTGCTTAACACCTGGGATGGAGTCAGTGGTTTGGCGATTACCTTCCAGAGATACAAATCACTGCAAGCAGCCAGAGATGCCAGAGACCTCCTTTTCTTCTATTTCAAAAGCCCTAATGTCATACCCAACACTACTGCAGTTACCCAGTTTGTACCTGACTTAGGTGCCATTGCCTGAGTAGAGTCAAACAGATCAAATGAATTATCACTGGCCTCAGGACATCTGTTGCCATCTATAATAAAGCAAAACAAAAGAGAGGAAAATTTGGGCTTTGCCATCATTAGCACTAGAGAAACGATGGAATACAACATGGTAGAACATCTCACACCCATCCATTCATTTCAGAAACAATGCATTCTCTCAGGGCTTCTCTGCATACATCCCTGTAGCCAGGCCCATGTATATTCCACTCATTCTCTTGTACCCTGTGCAGACACCAGGTAACAGAGTGGCCAGGCCCAGAGCCTTCTCTCAAGGAACCTGCCTGTCAAAACCGTAAACAGTTAACCTCATCTCAGGGTACTTAGGAAGAAGGGAGGGAAGCACAGAGACAGGAGCTCAGGTGATGGGGCTGTCCCCAATGTGGCACCCCAGAAGTGGATGCCTGAATGATCTTTTAAGACTTTTCCAGTGCCCAGTGGGAAGGAGGAAAAGAAAAGCCAAGCAGAGTACTGAGCAGGTACAAGGACATAGGCATGAGTCATCATTTTGGGAGAAGACACACAGCTCCTTTAGCTAAGGCCTGGGTACAGGGAAGGACATAGCAGGATGCAGGGCTTGTACCCTGAGGGCTAAGTGACCCACTCATGGTGGGACAATGTTAGGTTGAGGTCTATGTTTTAGACTGGAGAGTTAGTGTGGAAGCTGCTCTACTGACCTAACATGAGAGGAAAGTGACCTGCAACAGGATTTGGAGGTAATGCATCTGAAACACTTGACTGGAGGTCTATGTGATGTTAGATAATACAGGAAAGCACTCTCACACCTGAGAAGCTACTGAACTCTTAAGAGCCTGGTGGGAAGAACAATGATGTAATTTGTTTTTTAAAGAAAGAGACCAAGGAATCTAGACAACTCAGCATGCCAGTGGCAGAGCAATGCATATGTTCAGGTGTTGGGACCTCCCATGCAAGTTTCTTCCACCCATGTTCCACCCAGGTGGAGTAATGGACTCCAGACAAAGATGCTTTGATAAAACCTCCCTACCCTCTGATAATATTACTTAACAGCAAAAGCCACGCTACTTTTCTTTAAAATTAGAACTCCAAACCAACAAGTGACCGACAGACAATAATCCAGTAGGAAGCCCATGTGTGAGCTGCCTACTGATTGTTTTCAGCCCCTGCTGGGTGTGTGTGGCCAGGCTGCCTTACCCTCTGCCCCTTCCCAGGCATTTCTAGCCCTATACAAGCACACAAGTAAATGTAAATCAGACCCACCTGTTACCTGGAAGCTTCCCAGGCCTTAGGAGATGATGAAGGCCAGAGTAAGGGGTCTGGGATCTCATTTAAATACAAGAGAGCAGGGCATGGTGGTGCACACCTTGAATCCTAGAACTGGGAGGCAGGGGCAGGCAGATCTCAGAGTTCGAGGCCAGCTTGGTATACAGGGAGAGTTCCAAGATAGCCAGTGCTATACAAAGAAATCCTCTCTCAAAAAAACAAAAACAAAACAATACAAAAACCAAGGCAAAAAGCGTTGGTGGTATAGTGGTGAGTATAGCTGCCTTCCAAAAACCAAGGCAAGAGAATGACAAGGCCTTGGTGAGTTGTGGGTGGGACTAAACAGAAAGACTTCAGACAGCACAGACCACTGGAAGTCTTAACTCTACTTCCAGAGAACCCAGTGTCCAGTCAGTCAGAGAATATGCAACAATGTTGAGATGAGAGCTGAGAGCAGCAAGAAGGGCATCACTCAGAAGCTCACATGTCATACAGACCCACAGAGCTGAATAACCACAAAGTGAGAAGAAGCAACTTCCCTACCGTGTTTGTCCAGCTGAAGGGACCACTCGGTGACAGACAGGGCCTTGACAGCCACAGTGAGGTCCCCTTCCTGGGCTTTCTTTGGACCCAGTGACAGCTGCTCCTCTAGCTTGCTCCTCAGGGTGTTATTAGTCTGGATGCTCCTTTCTAGCTGGTCACGGAGAGCCTGTACCTCTGTCAGGAGGCCATGTAGGTTGCTCAAACAGTCAGGCCCCTTCCAGCCTTCTCCAGATGCCTCACCTTGGGTCTCTGCAGACATATGCAAAGGGAAGCCTTGATATTTTCCAAGATCAAAGGTCAGCCGTCAAAGAGACTCAAGGGCATTTCAACCCACCACCATCAGCCCCCTTCTAAGAACTAGGTACAATTTAAAATAACAACTCGACTTTAAAAACAAAAATATTGGCTGACTTAATTGCTGCTATTCCACAGGCTAAGTAAGAGCTGCAAATTAATTTCACTTCTGGCCATAAAAGCCTAGCAAATTGCACACCAAACCCCGAAATTATGTCTAGTAGTAATAAAATCTATTTGGACCAGAATTATAGAATGAAAGGGGATGATTTTAAGGGCTACAGTATATTAAAAAGGCAGGCACAATAGCAAGAACAAGAGAAGCAACTTGAGAAGAAGCAAAAGCTGAGAGATGACCCTTTCTAGATAAACTTTCAATAGGGAGAAACCATCTGGAAAATTAGTTTTAGAAAAATCCCCACTGTGCCTCCAAATTGATTCTCAAACATTACATATAGTGCCTTATAGTCAGGCACTCTGATCTGCATTTTCTAGAAGCAGAGCACACTAGGCCCGACAAGCACCTAAGAACAATGTCCGGCATGTGGCAACACTCGAATATCTACTGGATGAATAACTATGACAATGTTATTTCTTGGATGCCTACCTATGTGCCTGGAATGTGGCTAAGATGTTTTAATAAATGCCCTCATTTAACTTTCATGGCTCCACACAGTGGATATTGACAGACCTGATTACAGAGCTGTAACTGACCCAGTTACTGGTGAAGTCAGAACAAGCTGAGATGAAGGAAGTGAGACTCCAGACTTCACCTTGGCCAAAAGCCAATAATGGCGATGCATACCTATAAGGCTAAGGCAGGAGGATTTTTCAATGAAGCCAGTCTGTGCTATATAGAAAAACCCTGCCTCAAAAACAGAGTGGGCGAAAGAGTTTGCTTCTAAATGCGCCTGGTCTACCTATGGGCCAGTGTGGGTTTAATGGTAGGAGAGGAAAAAACAAGAGTCATGTCCTCCCATACCCACGAGCAGCTTTTTGGGTGAGCTCAGACCCTGAGATGTCTCAGGCCTGGCCCTAAGCAGGCAGTACCTCGCTTCCTATGTTCCTCATTCAGCTTCTCATACACCTTCAGCTCCACTCGGAGGGACTGGAGGAGCTTATCATTCTGTGAGAGCAGTTGCTGCCTCGACTTCATTTCTTCCTGTACCCTGAAAGAGTCCCGTATGGTTAGAGGGGTTAATTCCTCCTCCTGGAGGCTTGTTCAGTTCCCCCCAGGAAGGCCCAGGCCATCTCAGCCAAGGAATGTGAACAAAATGTGCAGAGACAGACGTGGTTAAGAGTTCCATCATAGCTCCCAGTTAAGGCATAGGACACGTGGGACCTAACAGACCTTAATAGACCTTCTCTCAAGTAAGCTTTACAGGCATTCTAAAGGAAGGTGTCCTCCAATTCCTGTCAGATACCCAAGAAAAGGAACCCAAAAAAGCTGTCACTTTCTAGAGCTAGGGAAAAGCCAGGACCTCTGTCCAGGGAGGTCTGATGGCACCTGGACAGGGATGAGGGTAGTCACTCAGACAGGAGAAAGAGTACTTCGTGTTGACACATGGACTAAGGCAGAGGACTAAGAGGGAGAGGGGGTAGATTTACATTTACTCACTCAGAGTATCTCAGTGACCTGTGCCATTTGGAGCAAAACTGGAGTCTTTATAGGGCTAGAGGCCAAAGATGATTAAGCATCTACCCTCCTCTCTGCCCTCAGCTCCTACTTTAGCCAAGCACAGGACCCTCTCTGGTTTGCCACGGCAACTCTGTCTTAGGGCCTATGTGACTTCTGCCAATAGTTTCAGCTCTCATATGCTTATTGTGTGGCTCTCCACTCAAAAGGGGCCTTTTCAGACAGCCCTTCTTTGACCACCCTAGGTGAGAAGGCCATCCACCCCCTGCATTCTTCCTTATTTAGAGGACTATGCCCCACATATTTTGTGCCCAGGCAAAAATGCTTGTTTCTAGAGCCATTGTGCCTACTGCGAGGATCACATTCCTAGGCATAGCAGGCCACCAAGGACAGCTGAGTCAAGCCCACCTGCTCAGTTCTTGGTGGCTGCTGCAGACCTCCTGGGTCAGCTGCTGGTTCTGTCTCTCCTTCTCACTGATGTCTTTCTGCAACCTTTCATTTTCTTCTTTTACACTGGTGTACTCTAACTGAAGGTGCTCAAGACTTGCAGCCTTCCTGGACAGAGACTCAAGTAATTTTTCATTCTCTTTCTGTTTATCTGCAAATACCAAAATGAGAAGGGATACCATTTGTTTTTTCCAACCTTATTACACTGGTACAGCACTCCAGCTCAAGCACGCCAAGCATACAGAAAAGAATGAGATTTAATCTGGCATTTATGGTTCCGGCATTCCAATTATCTTATGCATTTTAGGCAGATAAATCTGTCAATATCAAAGCTGCAGATTAAACATCACTAGAATGAAAGGGGCCTATTTAACTTTCTATTAAATAATGGGCCTTGAAAACCTCTGTTACTTTGCCTTAGAGAGTACACATGGTGGGTAGAGCAACAGGCAGGAACCCAGACGTCAGTGAGTGGGGAGAACAGCAAGCATCCTGCAGAGCCCCACAGGAGGCTGTGGGCTCCCCAGAACAATGAAACACTCTTGGAGGTCCTGGAAACAATAAGGCCTAGAGCAGAGAGTTGAAGGCAGAGTGACTGAGTTCTAGTGCAGCTTCTCCACTTACTGTCTGTGACCCTATGTGAAGCTCTTCACTCCTCAGTGCCTCGGCTTCCTCCCCTAGGCTAGGGTGAGGATGCAGAGTTGCTGTCTGTACAGGCTTATTATTAGCCCAAGCCTTGAAAGTACCACATGAGAGCCAAAGGGGTGGTAATGATGGCACATCCCAGCACTAACTGTACATGTGCTACAGTAAGCTCTCACATGTTTCTATGTCCCATGTCTTTGCAGCATACTGCCAAGGCAGGTCCTGTCAATTTCTCCATCTTTCACGTGAGAAACAAATGAGAGATAGGGTAAAGGCTTCCCTGTAGCCATAAAGATGGGAAGGCATACAGCCTGGATGTAGATCTACTCTTAACCATGATTCAAATATTTCCATGTACACTGGCATTCCTGCTGGTCTATATGACATTAGCACAGCTGCATCACTCCTGACTGGTCCACACTCTCCTCATCTCTAACTTGGGCCATGTCTGTTTTCCTTCTCTGATTCTGAGGCATCTCGGGTAATCATTCCTTTCCTTTTTAGACTTGACCCTTGAGGAAGAGGGTGTCTGAGCTGAGGGTCCTGCCACTCTCTGGCCTGCCTTTGTAGTGAGATATTCATCCCCCCACCCCAGCTCTGACCACGCCTGTTTGGGTGTGGTCACAGGTGCAGACATGTCCAGTTAAAAGGATTGAAGGGAAGCTGGGAAGTCCCTTCTTCAGGTCAGAGAGAGCATCCAGGCAGCAAGGTCTGTATGCTTGGAATGGGAGCCCATGACCATCATTCATTTCCTGTGTAAGTTATTTTCTCCTAATAAAGTCCACTTCATCCTACTGGTCAAGCATCCTGATTTCTACTCTCAATATCTGGCACCCAACATGGGGCCATGCTGACCACTTCCATTTGGGCATGGTCACAGGTATGAACATGAATATCTCACATGTTTTATCATAGCATGCCTCACTCCTCCTTGCTATATTTCACCCATCAGACTACAGCCTTCAGATGCAAAAATACAGTGCTTGTTTATTTCTGTATCAGTCTATCAAGTTCCCCTCTAGGGCAGGATAGAGATAGGCTGCTGAATGAATGAGCAAACTACATATGAGCCCCAATTTTGACTCTTAAGGCAAAATCAGTACCCATATCCCCCAGGACTATGGGATAAGCTGGCCTACATTCCAGCTCCAGCACCTCTGGCTCAGTGAGCCCATCAGAGCAATTGCTTAGGCTGTGAATTCTGACCTGAGAAACAGGGCTAATAATCCCTCACTCTAGAATCATTCTAAGTATGGACAATAACACAAGTAAAAACTCTTCAGCAGCTAAGCTCCAAGAAAAGGAATTAAGGATCTTTATAAAGGATGCTGGATAAACTTCACTGGTTGGAGAAAATCTCCAGTTGAGATTTGGCAGTAATAAATTACCAGCACTTCTCTCTTCCTCAGTTGTGATGTACTGAGACCCTGGTAGAGACATTGCTCTGGGGGCTTTATAGTCCAGTTGTTACAACAGCTAAGTAAGGCATTTTTTTTTTTTAACCCATCTGTGCCCTAGTTTTATTAGCTATAAAACAGGAATGCCCCATAGGGCTGTTGTGCAGTTAAAGGTAGAAAACTGTCATACCCACCCCTTTGGAATCTAGGGTGTCATTTCCTTTGACACAGGGCTTTGGATCTCAGGCTGCAGGTGGCTCTGATTTCTTACCTCTGGACCCTTTCTCGAGCATCATACTGAGGGCCTGATTCTGCTTCCTCAGGAAATGTATCTCTGACGTCAGAGAGCTATGTAGCTCTGAGCCATAAGCAGAAACATTTGTGGAAACTAGAAGAACATACATGAATGGTGATTTATAGACAGCCTCCATGTAGAACGGACAAATCTTCCTAGAAAATATGTTTTAAACAATGAAAAAAATCCAGAATGCAATGAAAACCAGTCCTATGAACCATGTAACATAGAGCCAGAGTTTAAAGAACAAGGACAGTGAGCTTAAAGGGGAGGCAAGAGGAGGCCTCCACATCACAACTGCCCCGAAGCTGAACAAAGATGAGACTGAACCACATCAGGGTGAGAGATGACAGTACCAACCATCATGACCAACTGCCTCTTAAGCCTTGGGTCTCGAGTCTGAAGCAGCTCAGTTTGACTCTGTCCCCTCTGGTCTTTCTCACTCTCTCCCTGTTTTAGGATATGGCCAACTCAAACCCCTAACCAAGGCTTTCACCTGGGAGCTATCCTAAACTCCCCCTTGTCTTCCTGTCCAAGCAGGCAATCACGCTGCAGATTCTTCCCCAGAATGCTCAGACTAAGTAAGGCCGACTCTCTTCTTCCCTCCTCTGCACAGCTTTCTCAATTGCACCATTTTGGGGTTCTATTCACAGTTGGCCTCGGAGCACTCACAGTGTGCCCAGTGTCTTCTCTATGTGGCAGGCAGATTCTTCTCTCTTGCTTTCTGTACTGACTCAGTTCACTTACATCACTACAACCAAAACACCACATCCCTGTGTTCCCAGACAGCAGGTGAAGAAAACCAGGGAGACCTAAGTGAAGTCTGTTGAGGGTTTCAAAGAGACTCTGCACTAGACAAGAGAGAACCCTCAGGCTCTTCCTTCCCATGCCTAGGGCACTGTCCTAGGAGAATGGGAAGATGCCACTAAAGAGGCACCACAGAAGTCAGCCCAACCCTGCCTCAGAGTTGTCTGCCTCTGGGGTTCTTGTAATCAATGGAGGTACAAACACCCCTTATCTTCACTGCTTTCTTCCTCACATTTCTTTTCAGCTATCTGCAGCTGAAATAACCCTGGGATATGAAATTCATGCCTGTGGTGTAGGTCCACACCCCTTATAAAGAAGGTGTGGTTAGTTTTCCTGGAAACATTCTTCCCACTCTACCGAACGTTTTTCCTCCAGCAACTGAGTCACACAAAATTAAGTCAAATTAATTCTTATTCACAAATGTCTCTTCCTACCATCTTTCCCTACTTTTTCCAGTGAACCCTGGGATCTTTTCAGAGTTCCTGCCCATCTCCTGCTTCTTAATAGCTGCAAGGCATCAGGCAAGTTGCTTAACTGCCCCCCCCCCCAGGCTTAGCACAACAAAAACACCCATGCTGTTATCATCTGTGTTAGTATCTAGATGAATGGAGAGTGAGGCCACAAGAGGACCACAGACTTATCAGAATAATCAGCAGAAACCCCAACAATGACACTGATCAATGCCAGGGTATTACTTGATAATAAACAAGCAATAGGCCATAAAACATCCAAGAGTCACTAAACCTAACTAGGCCCAACTGGCCTAGTGAGGATCACCTGGTACCACCTCTGTAGTGAGCACAGAGAACTCAAGTAAGCTGGAGGCTCTAAGGCATAAGATAACAGTTTTTAACAACTTGCCCCTTGACATAAGGAGTCCTGCCCTTTGCAGACCTGACCCCAAGATGAGCATTTCCTATCAGGGCGAGGCAGGACTGCTTTTAGTTTTGTCTTTCCAGAAACTATGAGAAAAGCACGTCTTTCCATGAGCATGAATACTTTATGAATGCCTTTCTGTAAACTTCCCTGTCAATGGAAATTACTCTCCAGAGCAATTTTGGGCTCCACTGTAGCCGGTGGCCATTTGAACCCCCAAATAATTCTATAATTGAATTTGCTAGGGGAAATGCAAAACAGAATGAATCATTACCAAGAGTGAACATCAAGGGCCCAGGCATATATTTCTTTCCTGTGTTTGACACACCTAATAACTCAAATTAATCAAATTTCCTAGGGGTGAGGGAGGAGGATGAAGGATGCATGGGATGAGTGGAAGTCCAGGTGAGGACTGGAAGCAAACCATAGCAGAAACTGCAGCACACAGAGAACTGCCAGAAGCTGCCTATATGTGGACTACAGAGCAATGAGAAATGGACTGGGGTCCAAGTTTTGAGTTTTACCATTGAGTACTACCTTTCTAGAACTCAGTGATCTCATCTCTAAAATGGCATCAGGGTCTTTACTCACTGCAGAATATTGAAAGACTGAAAGCTAAACTGGTCATGTTAGATGGAATAGTAACATAAAACTGACAGTGATAAAATCAATTATTTATTGAGTGAGCACTGAGCAATGGCACTGCCTCATTTAATATCAGAAGGACCCTGTTTCATGAAACAACTAAGACTAGAGTGAATTGCCCAAAGTCACAAAACTGACCAATAAAAGACTGCAGTCACACCCAGGTCAACCCAACCAACTTAAACAATACAATGAAGCTATGGAAGAAACCAGGAAAAGTGAGGAAGAAAGGAAGGAGGGAGAGGTTAACAGGTCCAGTGTGGGACAGCTGGTTTATGAACTGTATGAAGGAGTATCTTATGGGTATTCAGTTTCTAAGGAAGCCCATTCCCTTTGAAACAAACTGTGGTGGGGTGGCATGAAATATTTGCCTGACTGAGAAATGCTGACAATTTATGGTCCATTATTGGTGAAAATAGAATACGTTTCTTTTCACCTTTAAAATCCCTATGTATACCTCTACAATGAGCTAGCTTGGGCTCCCAGAGGCAGGCCAACTTCTCCGTCCCACCTGCTTCACAGAGAGCCTCTTCAGGCAAACACATCACACAGCAGCAATCTACCCCACCACATTCCTTACCCTGGGAAAGTCCTTCCTTACCTTGGTCAGTTTCAGACCCCTGCCGCTCCAACTGTTTCCGGAGCTTCTCATTTGTCTTAATAGATTCTTCCAAACAGTTTCTCAAAGTTCGAATTTCCTGTATGTGTTCCATTAGTAAGTCTGTAGGAAGGAAGAACATTTTAAATTTAAAGTCTGAAGCCCCCAACAAATTGAATAATTTATAGATTATGCAGAGATCCTAAAATTTCAACAGTATTGGATGCATTGAGATAGTCAGCAGCTGGCAATTCTTTCCCAAGCTTAGGGGAGGCCAAGCTATTTCCCACAGCCCGTAGCCATGGCTCCGTAATGGCTCTCTGCAGCCCTCCATGAGGAAGCAACTTTACATCACACACAAAAATTATACTCCATACAATTTTAATGCTAACTCTAATGTAGCCTTTTATTCTTCTCAATATCAAATATTAATTTAAAATCTTCCTAATGATGAAACTAACAGATCACTTTCAAGTCAATCTGGACTGCCTGAGAATTGATCAAACTACTTTCATAATGAATCCAGATAGTTTAAGCTAGGTTTTTTTTTTTTTTTTTTTCCAGCAAGGAATAGGTTATCCATTTATCATTCATTAATTTCAAGATTTAAAATAATGCTAGTGAGAGAGGTATTTAAAAGTATGTTCTTGAGCTCACCTGCAGTGTGAGTATAAATGTGTATGACCTTCTGGGGCTATTTATATCACTAGTTTTAGGAAAGTTCTCCAATGTCATTTCCCAAGTAGTTCTACTTCTAGGACTCTATTAAAGGAGCTCATGTGAGATGCTCACAGGCATTTGCCAGAATGCATGAAAATACTCATCTGAGTATTACATGTGACAGGAAACTGAAACAGCTCAAATTGTTCATTGAACCGAGGTCCATTCACTATGATGAGGAATTACACAGCTATTAAATTATGTTATGAAAACTATAAATACCATAGAAAATGTATTATGTCATTATGTTAAATTTCAAAAGATATGAAATTGGTTACAACATAATCACAGCTCTATATAAGAACATACAGATAGTAGAAACAAATATGCCAAAGAAGCAATTACAATGAAATATTAATTGTAGCTACCTCAGGGTGATAGATTTCAAGCTTTTCAAAACCTCCATTTGACATTTTAACATATCACTTAATAGATAAAAACTTAATTTTGCCATATTTCCTAGGATGAGCATGTATTAATTTTTTTCCCTCTGCCACATCTCACTTCAACACAGAAAGAAGGAATCATAGTTTCACTCTAGAGGTGGATTTCCAGAGTCAGTGTTTAAAACATAATCACATTAAGTATCCAAAGGCAAAACTAATGTCTTTAATTCATCAATTAGGGTACACTCAGTATGTCTTAGTAATGTTTGTTTTAAAACATTATACTAATGTTATGACCCAGTTTTAATTCCTCCAAAATGGCTTTCATTTAAAAGTAGCACAATGTTACAGATCTTTTCCTAATTAAATAGTAATTTTGCCATGAATTTGAATGTTTATGAGATGACTTAATTCCCAGACCTTCAGCTATCTCCTATTAATGCCAGAAGTGTGGCAAGTCATTTGGTGGAATGTCTGTCTCCCGCTGCAGCACGGCGGGAAAGGCTGTCTGTGTACTCTTGTGGTGTGCCCAGCACTGATCCTCCCGGCCCAGCCTTGAGGTCCTGCCAACCTTCTTCCAGAAGTCCTTCAGGCCAGAGTCAGCCAGGAGCTCACTGGTTTGGACTGCCACCTTACTTGCTGGTTTACTTGAGTCACACACTGCTGGCTGTGGGGTGATGATGCTCCACACAAGCCATCTTTCACAGTCTTTGGTTGGGAGTGAGAATTATCACATGGGCTGGAAGAAGCACTCCCAGTGGAATTAGACACCATGTATTAATTATGCAGCCATTCTGAGGAGAAGGAAACCCTATACCAACCTTTCCAAAATGGGAAAAGGATCCACCTGTCTTATAGTAAACTCTTATGATAAGTGCTAACTCATAATACCATAAATCCTGCAAAAAGCTACCACACACTGAAAAAAAAGAATAGAAAAAATGTGCATCTTCTGCCAGGTAGTTTTAATTTAGAGAATCTATATTAGGAAAATGCCCTCCAAGAGGAAGGCTTTGTGTCCAAGCCCTACCCCCTCCCACCACTGTTTACAATTTCGAGATTGTAGAAATGACTTAAATGCTGAGCTCTAGGAACAGAAGGAAAACTGCAGTTCAGCCATTCAAAGCACTGTTCTAAAGCCACTAAAAGTGACATTAGCTAACAACATGTCAGAAAGTCTATGGAAGAATGTTAAGTGAGCAACGAAAAAAATGCCAAATTATCTCTCTATACAGATTACAAACGTGACAAAGGGAAAAACAGATGCAGAGAAGAAAAAGGCTGAAGAGATATAAACCAAAAAAAGAAGACAGTGGCTATGTTTCCGTAGCTCCAGAGAACTGGGTTCCTACTCAAGAAAAGAGCCAGTGATGCACTTGAGGGGCACAGGCAGCCCACTAACATCCCTGGCAGAACAGAGATGGGAGACAGACTTGAACCTCTAGGAAATTTGGAAAAAATTGTATCTATTATCCATTTTATCTTTTATCGTATTAAAAACAAAACACAGTGATAGGCAGAAGAGAACTGTGCCCAAGACCACTTAGAAAAAAAGGGATCACATTCACTCTGAATGATATATTCAAGTTGCCCTCCACTCATGTGACCAGACCTCGTGCAGTGGTCTCAGTATCACAGAGAGGGACTAAGTGCCACACTGGACTAAATACAGAGGGAGGCTGCTCCGAGGACAGGGAAATGATTTATAGTGTAACCTAAAGTAGGTGAAGGCAGAACCCACAACCAGAAGTGATGGAGAAATGAAATAATCACAAAAATCTCTAAAGGATACTACCAGAAAACCCAGGAAATGAGTTCTGGTGACTGGCCACCGGAAGATTTGGTTGATTCCTGAGTTGTTCCAAGAATGTGCATATTATATCTAGGTATGTCTAAGATGTGAAACCTGAGTGTCCAGAGGAGCCTCAGAGGACACTGTGGGGCAAATGCTTTGCTCTCATTAACATTGACATATTGGGTGGGACCTCTCCATCTAAAAGAAATCTAGCTGTTTATACCAAAAGCTTTAAATATTTTTGAAATGTAATTTAGTGTTAATAAGAGTTTTTAGTAGGAGTGCTAGTGTTCACGATGTGCTATAGAATTCACTGTGGTGCCTTAGAAAAACCTACTGAATTTAAGCTAGAGATCAGAGAGGTGCAGAGTCTCCACATATCAAAGGCCTGAAACACAGGCTGCTTTCCAAACCCATCACCTTCTTGTGAATGAAGCTCATTTGGACCATACACACTATCTATACACTTTCTTGCAGAGCTGTGCAACTTCAAGAGGACACACCCCCTGCACAGTCAAAGATACTCACTACCTGCCCCTTGGGTGGAAAAGTTTGCTAAGCACAAGTCCATCTGTCCTGCCTCTATGGTCCTTTGAATCGTTGAAATATACTGACTGAAAAACAATAAGTCCAGCTTCCTACCCTAACAGAAGAAATGGAGACTGTAAGCTGAAAGGAGGTTGGGGGAAGGTCGCTGGGAATCTGACATGGCCAATTTAGTCCATATCCAGAAACGGAACAAGGCAGAGCATTTGTGTCTCTGAAACTCCCATGGAACCTCTTAGCACAGGTGTGATGGTATGGGGGGGGGGCTATGGAGGAAATTAGGTCATGAAGATGCCATACCCGAGAATAGGATTAATGCCCTTGTGGTACAGACCACATGGATTTCCCCTGACCTTACTGTCTCTATGTCAGAATTCAAGTGGAAAGAGGATGTTCACTAGAACTCAACTACACTGCCAGGAAGGAACCTTGACCTCTGCTTTCCCCACACCAGAATTGTGAGAGAGGGATTTGCACTGTCTGCAGTCCCCAGTATTTAGCTGCAGCAGCCTGAGTGGACTGAAATAAAGGGCCTGACCCCATGACCAAGAGTCACACAGTAAGGGACCTGCTTCAGGATGAGCAGAAGCAAAAGGAGAAAACGACACATCTCCAGTGCTTTCAACCCACCCTGTGAAAAGAGAAGATCGCCCAAGTCATCATTTAAAAAGAAACCCAGACTTCCCAGTTGCCACCCACACTTTTAACACCATGGCTCCTTCCAGGGATAAATCACTCTCCATCAGCAGCTCTGACCCTTTCAGGCTCTCCCTTCACTGGCAAAATGGTCAGACATCAGCCTATTCTTCTCATCAAGGCAAGACAGCCCAGTTATGCCTAAGGTGCTTAGTGAGGCTTCGCTTACCTTGAGGAAAATGGCTCGACATCTCTGGGCACTTTTCAGTCTCGCTGTCTGGTTTCTGGTCTCCGGACAGGAAGGACTTAACAGACACTTCATCATCTGACAGTGCGTGAGCGGCAGAAGGCTCAGGAGATTCAGGCAGGAGATGTTGGTAGGTTAAGTTGCCTTCCTCAGTCCTTAACCTTCAAGATTGAAAGAAAGTCATTTCCAAATACAACCTAATAAGATCACGTAGTAAAGATTATATTTATAAATTTATACACATGTATATGTAACATTGATAATTAAAGAGTAAGAGCGTATGAATTTGAGAAGAGAGTGGGCATGGGAGAAACTGAAGGGAAGGAACAACAATATAAACACTCATATGAAAGTGAGTGTACTCATGAAATTCTCAAAAAATGAATAAAAAGATATTCATTTTTAACATTTTAAAAAGAAATGCCATTTCCCACATTATGATCCCAAGCTGGACTATATGTTTGAACACTTAGGGATAACTTTCTTTTTGTGACTGGTCATCCACGCAACTTCAGTCTAATTCTGAAAACAGAAGGCTCTCCATGGGTGTAAGTCTGCAAACAAGGAAGAAAAGGAAGGGAGGTGACTGCTTGTCCTGCAGTGGATTTACAGGGCAGCAGCCTGAGACAGAGCATGCTCCTGTGGCCCCTGGACCACAATGCTGCTCTGTCCCAGGGCTCTGTAGCTTTATTTACCCTCACGGATGCCCTCTGAAGAAGGAAGCACTACTGCCCTTTACAACTGAGGGAACCAAGGCTCATCATGAGCCAGGCACTTGCCTTGGTTCACAAGTGGTGCCACTCAGATCAGACATATGCCTATCTGGCCCTACAGCCCAAAGAATGTGGACTCCACCCCAAAAATCTCAAAGAATTTATGATCCCCCAGTAGGCTCCCATATCATCATTCTGGCAGTCAGATAGTTAGTAATCTGGATTTGCAAAGACCACCTAAGGCACAAGGAAAACTCAGCTGAGCGCCGTGAAAAGCCCATGTGAATCTCTACTAGAGATAAGCTTCTTAATTTAAGCTCTTTGCACTTCCCCCTTTCCTATTACTCCTCGTCAATGGCCAGTCTCATTATTCATTTACTTAGACAAGAGCAAAGGACTCTGAAGCTGCAGTGCATCCATTAACAGGTAAACACCGGGTGCAGCTGAGCCCAGACAGCATGATGGATGCCAGGCTTGCTGCTGCCTTCCAAACATACAGTAAGGGCCAAGAGTACCCATTTCATTAGCTCAGGAGTGACCTGTGAGTGCTGAGCCTACAACTGAAAATAGCAGAGCAGAAGGAAAAGCTGCAAACTCACCAGAGATGAAAAGGAGAAATACCTGGTTGGAGGGACAGAAAAAGGTTCCTTGCCTCCCCCACTCTGTATACACTCAGTCTTCCAGAATAGCGAGTCTGAACATCCTTACTTTCCCCATTTCAAAGGTCCCCATTAGTCCTATAGGAGAGTACTGGGTTGAGAATTCCTAAAAACAACTTCTGTGGACGACCCTGTGGGCCCCACTTGCCCCTCTAGCCATGTCTCCTTTACAACGGCTATGGATATAGTTCTGAGAGATCCCAGCACTTTCACCAGCCCCACTCAAAGGCCTTCCTTTCCCTTTCCACAACTGCCATCAGGGTGTGGAGTAAGGCAGACACATGGGTTGAGCTAGGAGGGATCTTTGGTGATACTGCAGAGGGCAGAGTGTTTCTTTTATGACCATGAATGTCTTGATAAAATCATCCTCTAGGGAGGTAGGCACCTCCCTGCCTCCTCTCTGTAATGATGCTCGTGGCCTCTGTGATGCCAATGAAAGCTATGCTTCTGCAACCCAGACTATCCATTTCTTCATTTCACTCCAATGATCCCCCAAAGGCCACATACATTAAAGAAGGTGTTTCACAGCATTTGGAGCATCAAAACCTTTGGATATAAGTGGGCAGTCCTCAGCACAGTCAGTTGGCTGAAGAAGTAAGCAAAGAAAATATACAATCCATGTTATCATCTTTATCCTCAAATAGCATTGAAGAAAAATTGGTGCTAGAGCATGGCAGACTTGAGTTTCAGTCCTGGCTCAGCCACTTAATGAAGGTACACAGCTCTGAACCAGAAGTTCCTCATCCTGAAGTGTGAATGAAAATGCTGGAATTATGGTATCAGAAGCAACAAGGGTGAAACCCCATTGGTGCTAGACAACGCTGCTCTCTTTGGAGAGGAGTGAACCAAATGGGAATGCAGTAAACATCACACAGTTAAGTGCTTCATGGAACTATGTCAAGTATGGCAAAAATAACAGATCCTGGAACAGAGAGAAATGGGGTACTGGCACGGCCCATGGTCATTTCTGTTCCAGCTGCCTCTGAGGAATGGCGTCCCCACTGCCCGAGGAAAGCAGCAGAGTATACAGCTATACACAGCCACAGTCAGGAGGATCAAGGAGCCAGGTAAGGAGGCATAGGGCAGGAAGAGAGTGGGAGGAGGAGGAGAGGGAAGGAAAACAAGTCAGCTGCCATGTGCTCAAGTGCCAGGCTTAGGACAGTAGGACTCTGAGGTACCTACAGGAGGATCTGCTTCCAGTTACTGACAGAAATACAAGTCACCTGAACCCACAATGGTGGACTCTGGTTGCTGTGTGGCCACTGTTGGTTCTGTGGGTGTTGGTGCCTTATTTACAAGAAGCATAAAAGTTACAGAAGGGGAGCCTTGAATTTAAAAAAAATTGGCAGGAAAACCAAAGCAGGAAAGTCATGGAGTTTTCTTAGCAAACATTACACACTCACCTCTCTAGCAGTTCACTCTGGGGACATGGTTCCACTCCGGCTAATTTTCCTGGAAGCCAAAAGAACATCAGAGGATGAAAACAGCTTTTAAAAACTGCTCACTGATACTTTCTTGTTCATATATTTGCAGAGGCAAGGATCTGACCACAGACCTTGGGAGGGATCACCTAGTCCATACACAGTTCAGGAACTGCCTCTAGATGACAGGAATGAATCTAGAAAGCACCCACAGTGATGGTCTCTGGATGCAGCTTCTTCCTATCTCTAAACACAGACAACAGCAGGGCATAGTGGCAAAGGCCTGTCATCCTAGAGATTCAAGAGGCTGAGGCAGGAAGATCATAAATTCAAGCCAGATTAGGCAACTTAGTGAGACACTGTTTCAAAATAAAAAGTCTAAGAAGGACTTCTGGGGGTAGGGAGACAGCTTAGTTGGTTAAGTACTTATCAAACAACCATGATTTTTCTTTCTTTCTTTTTTATTTTTTATTATTATTTTTGTAATGTGGCAGCTTAGGCCTAGAATCCCTCTGGAAAGGCAGAGACAGAAGATGCTCACGACTTCCTGGCCCAGGCAATAGAGAAAAAACAATGATCTCCAAGATGAATGAGAGACCTTGCCTCAAAAAATAAAGTGAAGAACAATAAAGTGACATGTGACATCAACCTCTGCTCCCTACTCCAGAAGCCCCATCTTCCACACACAAACATACACATGCCTGCACAAGCGTGCACATGCAAGTGAACACACACACACACACGCACGCACGCACGCACGCACGCACGCACGCATGCAGATACAAAATATAGGAGGGCTACAAACACAGCTTAGTGGTACAGTATAGCACAGGCGATGCAGATACAAAATATAGGAGGGCTACAAACACAGCTTAGTGGTACAGTATAGCACAGGCGAAGTCCTGGTAGCAAATGTAAAGTTCTGGGTTCCATCCCTAGTCCCATAGAAAACAACACAAAAATCTTCTGGCACTAGCAGTATATATGCTCACTGTGAGGCGTGGGTAACAGAATCATAAAGCCTCCCTCTTCCCACCTCCCCTCTGTAGGCACGATGCTGAACTGCCTTCTGTTCTCCCTTCCATGCACGTGGGCAGAGAGGATGCTGACTTCATTTGTTCACATCACATTTTATTATAAGCATTTCTCTAAGTTTGTTTCAGAAAACTCCATTGTGAAGACCATGCCAACATTCTGTGGCAGGCACACATGGATTGGATCTTGCGGTTCCCTATTGGGTATTTAGGTCATCTCCAAATTGTCATTTTAGTAAATAAGTGAGGCAAATATATCTGTACACATGGCTTTACCTGCATTTAAATTATTTCCCTAGGAAAGACTCTCAGAACTGGGATTAGTGGGGAAAGCAGTATTCAAGTGCAGTTGAAAAGGCCACTGTCGACAGCAGGGGAAATGACTAACAGAAACGACAAAAGAAAACAAAATAAAGCGCAGGATGCTGTTGGGAAAAGACGCTGTGCTCTGTTCCTGAGTGTCATCCTTTGAAAGGATGCAAGGACCCAGATTTCAAAGCAACTAACAACTTTATTTTAAAAATACTTCAAAACTCTGGAAATTGCAGACCAGGATGAGCTCTTTGAAGAAACTGATGCATGGCTAAAGAAAAAAAGAAAAAAAAAAAAGCCCTTCTATCACTGCCTTGAAAAATGAGACTATAATTAGGCTGCGCCTACAGAGCTCTAAACTCTCAAAATGAAAAGTTCCCAAACATCACCGGTAAGGAAAAGGGCACAGAGCATGCATGTTTGCTTTATAGCTTGTGATTCAGCTTACGGTTTTCACAGGGAGGCCTGCCTGGCAGCCAGGCTCCATCTCCAGCCCAGCAGGTCACCATATACTTGACACTGTACAGTACTGTCACCCACAGGCAAAAGACAAATGGCCCCAGTGAGGAGGCACCACACCCTAAGTACAATTTCTTTATATTCACTCTGCCTCAGGATTTACTATAATCCCAGAGTACCAGCACTCACCTCCACTTTGCAGCAGGAAGTGCAAGTCCAAGGTTCCAGGCTCCACTCTCACTTCACTGCACTTCAGTAAGGGGCGGGGTCATGGAGGATGCAGTCAAAGATCTATGCCTGAACCTTCTTCGGTCATGTCTTTCCCACACTAGTGTGATGCCGTGGCTTCCACAAGGTAAGCAGAGGCTGGCAGTCCACTGGCCTGGTAGATGCTCTCAAGTCTGCAGTCCCTGCACTGTTTCTGCTCTCTGCACTCTTTCTCAAAAGGAGAAAGTCACATCAGCTTGGGTCAGATCCCAAAGACCTGAAGGACAATCCGTAATGTGCAGGACACCTATCTTCTGAAAGAACAGTCTAATTGTCACTGAGGCTGCTCAGCAGCCTTCAGGTGATAAGAAGCCTCTGACCTCACAGACCTCAAGATAGGCCACCATTTAGCCCAGCTTTGCCAACAGCTAGAAGCTATATGAGTACTGCCAGGCAAACAGAAAGTGGCGGCCTGCTGTACAGGCATCGCTGTGAATTGAGTCATCTTCATACACAGGATCGGTACCTTTGGTCTGGGATAACTTCGAGCATCCTAAGCCTCCTGACCATGAGCCCATCTTAAAACCACAGATCTGGCCTCCATGCCCACAGAAGGAAGTGCTTCAATGCCACCAACAGAGTGAGTCTGCTCACTGTTAAGATCTTTTGGGGAGTTTGTATTACACCTCTTCCCCCATCACAATAGGGTCCTTTTAAAGCAAAGTGACAACTGGCCACCATTTTAGAATTCATGAGGGTACTGTAACAACTGATAAACTGAGTATCTTGGTGGAAACTGCCTCCACACAGGTGGCAGGGGACCATCTGTCAGATATTGCAGTAGCTTGAGATGCATGTCATGAAAACACTGCTCCCATTTCTCTGGCAAACCTAAGAGCAGTCTGTGAGCTCCTGCAGTGAGGGAGTGTCATCTTTTTAAAACAGAAATTAAGAAAAAACAAACAAAAAAACCTAAAAGCTAGCTTTCCCTTCCTTGTGTGACAGCAAGAGGACCACAGTACATAAGTGACTTGTGAACTGCTGACCCAGCTTGTCCCCTGCTGCTGTTCAGAAGCTTTCTTGGGCACAGAACTTCTCACTCAAACTCTACGTATCCCACACCCTTTAAACCCCAATGCCTGGCATCTCTAATTCAACCCCATACTTTTTCCTTCCTGTCTACCATGGCTCCTCCCAGAAGTCCAGCACACACTGGGGATACAAGGATGGATACAGAGTTGTCCTGTCTGCCTTTGGTGAGCTCACCTCCAAGGGGACAATTATAGAGTAAGGTGATGAGGGGCAGCATGGTGGTGGTGGGAGGACTCCAGAGAAGATAAGCATAGTCCAATCTCAGCCAGAGGGAAATTAGAGGAGGAGGGATGAAGGAAGCTTTGCCTCTCGTTTTTACTTTGTTATTGTTGCTGTTGTTCATTTGTTAAAGGCAGGATATTCTATGTATCCCAGGCTGACTACAAACCCACAAGCCTCTTTCCTTAACCCTGCTTGGAAGATAAGTCTGTATTACCATGCCAGGCTTCTAGGCTGTATCTGTGGAGCAAGAACCGTGATTCCATGGTGACAGCCTGGACCACTATTGCAACCAAAACTTTGTCATTGTTACTGTCATCTCCCAAACTGTTTCCAAGGGCAACACAAGACACTTTAAATAATCCCACTTAATCCTTGCAAACAACTCTGTTAAGGTGGGTGTTACTATCTCCACATAGGATATCTGAATGACCCATAAACCAGGGTATTAACTCCAATCTCTGATTCCCTGTGATACTCCTGCGATAGCCTCCATCATAAAGTCAGACTGTCATGTATGTTTTACAGATAACCCATAGTGAAAAACAGAACCAGCTCCCTCTTCTACTTGGGGTAAACAAAGAGAAAGCTTTCAAAGGTCAGCACAATTTCTATAGAGTAGGTGCATCCTGTGGAGAAAGGCACTGGTGTGAACAGTCACAGAAGGGGAAAGGCAATGCCCAGGCAACAGGAATATTTGGTCAGTGCACCCAGCCTAACAGGAATGTAAGTGGGACACATATATCCCAGTGGTTGGGACAGGCTGTGAAATCAGCCTTCAATTCAGACTCTGCCATCTCCTCAGAGATCTCAAACAAATGAGCTAATCTCTATGCTCCTCATAGGAACTGAGGATAATGCATATTTCCTGGGCTGAGAACATAGCAAACACACAATGAAAACCAATGTCTGCATTTCCTCACTGTTTTTCTCCATCAGATAGACTATGGAAAGTCTTGAGAAGAAATGAGGAAGAGTGTCAAGGCAAGTGACTGCCTTAGTGACTGCCTTCTATTCAAGTGATACCCATTCTGAGCTCATTGAGGGACTGCTTACCAATCATCTTTGCAACCAATCCAGTACTCTGCTCAATTGTATCTGAAGAGAATATACTGCCTTACTCATTTGTGCAACTTGTCTTTGGACACACTGTGATGAGGTTATGCTGGGAAACCTGACTGCAACTCCAGCTCCTGATCTACTCTGAGTTCTGGCCCTGTTGAGAATCTGAAAGCTACAGACCCTCACCCGAGAAAAATGCATACTTCATACATCTTGTTAAGTTCAAGACGCCTCATGGGATCCTCAGTTCCCAGCTATGCCCTTAGCAAGCATCAAGAAAGCATACCCACCCTGCTTCGCAGACTCTGCCAACCAAATGTTGTGACAGAAATAGCAAGGATGCAATGAGATTCCAAGTCAGTGTTCTTTATAACAGTCCCCAAATGGACGCAACCTAAGGGTCCATCCCCTGGGAATCATCAAATAAGGCAAGGGACATTCATACAGAAGAATGTTCTGTAGCTACTAAAGCTTAATGTGTGCTATCTGTCACTGAGCAAAAGGAGAGGTTGCCAAGAGTCCTGTTGCCATAAAAATTACACATGTTCTATAAGGGTCCAGGTACAGAAATTCAAGGCTGTTCATGTATGGCTGTGAAAATGATACAATCAGAGAAGTATCTGTTTGTCATTCCATAGTAAACATGCTTGGTATTGATTTTTTTTAAGGTCTATATTTAAATGTTTAAGAACTTGTGCCATACAATGCTATAGATACAAATTATTTTATTATAAACCTGGTTCATAATTCAAGAACAGGACCCCTTACATTGCACCTGAGAAAGATCTGTCTCTATGTCTCTTTTTATTCCCTATTGAAGGGATCTGCATTGAGGGTCCTGTGGCCTTTACACTTTGAAGAAGAAAATGAGGTTCTACACCTGTGCCATCTGCAAGCTCCTGCCTCCAGAACTCACAAGAAACAAGTGGGATCTCCAGTAATTGTCAAACTTTGGCTGAGAGAGAAGTCCTTGAGCAGCTAGCTGAAGAGGGAGCGCAACTGGTTCAGACACTCTCCCCCTTACTTCCCTTCAGGACCAGTGCCAGGGCTATCAGAAGAAAAGACAAGAACACTGAGGGCATGGGCAATCTCGTTTTATCTGTCAGCCACCCAGTTGCTTCTGCAGACGTTATAAAACTGCAATCTAGTCTTCCTAAACCCGGATCTTTAAAGTTCTTAGGGAACAAATACCAGAAAGTTAGTCATTAGCAGATCTTTAGGAAAAACACTAATGGGTACTAGATGGGGGAACTACCCTGTACTCATCCTGGAATTAATCTGCACACACAAGGACCACAGTAAACTATCTGTTCTATGTGAATGGATGCAGAAGAGCTGTCAATCCTGACTTCACCAATGTCAGGGTACTTCCACTGTGTCTCTGGGCAGCTCACTTTTCTCAGTTAAGGCCTGCTTCCTACCATGTAAAGCACGTAGCTCTGAGGGTTAAGCCCCTAACTCTCCAAAATTATCCATTTCCAAGTCACTATAGGAAGTGCTTCTTCATGAGAGCCATGTGTTACTCACAAAGATAAGGCCTCACAACTACCATTTGCCCCTAGAGCAATTTTGCCAACTAGGTATTGGAGTGCTAATGTTATAGGCAAGGAAAGTCAGAAGATCACAGCTTACAGGAGGAAGTCAGAGTTCTAGTCTAAACACCTAGACTCAGTGATTACATTTGTCATTACCGACCCTCAAACTTGGATATAAAAGTAATATTCCTAACTCCCAAGCTTCTCATCAACCAAATTGAATGTGGTGGTTTGAATGTGAGTGGCTCCCACAGACTCATATAGTTGTATGCTTAATCACAGCAAGTCATGCTATTTGGAAGGAATATGAGGATTAGGAGGTGTGGACTTGCTGGGAGAAGTGTGTCACGGGGGGGTGGGCTTTGAGGCTTCATAAGCCCACATGAGGCCAATCTCTCTGCCTATGGATCGTGATGCAACTGTCAGCCACTGTTCCAGTGCCTGTCTGCATGCCATCAAGCTCTCCACCACAATATTAATGGACTAAACCTCTAAAATTGTAAGCAAACTCCAAATAAGCGTGTCCTTTTGTAAAAGCTGCCTTAGTCAGGGTGCTTCTTCACAGCAATAGAACAATGACTAAGACACTGAATTATCACTGCCCATTTCCAAGTCACTATGATGTTTCAATCAAATAACAACTAAGATACCAAGAAGGATAAAAATAGATTTAGTAGGAACAGATTTATGCTACGAGATAAGATGTAAAATCCAAGCTCAGCTATTCATTCCTGCCATGATCACAATTGAGGTACTTCCTGTCCTGGGCCACAATCTCCACATCATAAAACTGAACTCACTCACTCACTCACTCACTCACTCACTCACTCACTCCTCGACTGTGAAGACCAAGAAAAATGGAGCAGGACAAGGGGACAGGGGAAGTTGGTGTGTGCCAGGAGTATTCCTGTCTTATAGAGATTGTCAAGGAGGACTTATCCAATAGGATGGCTAAGAAAAGGGCAAAGGAAGGAGAAAAGCAATGTGAAAAGACCATGAGAAAGAAGGCTGTTTGGGCCTAATGGCAGAACAGGTCAGTGTGCATAGCTGTCAAGGAGATGAGCAAGGCCAAGGAGTGAATTCTGCCGGTGTCCACGCAAGAAGTCACAGACTCTAGGGCCAGTGCCTCTACCTACTTACCATGGAGAAACAGCTTTTCCAGTTGTTCAAGCAGTTCAGCACACTGTGTTAGCTGCTCCCTGAAGCCCTCGGCCACACAATTGTCCACATCACTGGCCTGCAGAAGCTCTTCAAATGCCTTGATCATGGTGCTCATGTGTTGACGGTAAATGACACAGATGTCATGGCTATCCTTAATCTGCTGCCGCTGAAGGGAGAGCTCCCTGGCTTGGGACTGAACCAATGAATCGTATCTGATAAAAGAGGGAAGGAAAATGTGTGTGTCATTTTAGAATTGAATTTTTGTGACCTTAACACTAATTGGAAAAATGACAGAGCATAATTTCTGAAAGCCTGAAGCTGTACAAGCATATATACTTTAGAAAAATTGAAACTGTACAAGGTCACTCCTTCTTTGAGTTCAAACAGCCAACAAATGCTTCAACAGAGATTCTTCTGCAAAATTTTTAACCTTAGAAAGCCCCCAATTAAAGCATAGATTGGCAAGGACTCAGGAGAACAATTAGTTTCCATACACTCTTCAAAGACACCATTCTGAATTGTAGAAACAAGTTCCCCAAGGGTAAGGGACCCACCAAAAATTCTCACCAAGTATAAATATATACATGACAAGGGTAAAAAAGATAGGACTGTCTGCTTCCAACTGAAAGAGCTGGACTCCTAACCACCACTGAGTAACTGGGGCCCATCAGTCATTGAAACAAGTTACCTTATGGTACCCAGTTCTCTCAGGCTTCCAACAAACAGATTCATGCAGAAAAGAAAAACTATCTCAAAAGTACTTAGGTGGTAAAGCTTTGCTTTTCAAACACACAGATTGCAAACTTTTACCATCCAATACTACCTCCTTATCATCTGGTACCACCCTTCTCTACACAGGCCTAGGAGTGTTAGAGCAAGCACAGAGGAAAACTCAGAGAGGACAAGCAGCCACAGCAAGCTGGATCTAAAATGGCCTGAGAGGCACTTTGGTTCACCATGACCACTGTTAATAGCAATAGCATACAAGCAATCATATGGCACCCACCTTAAAGGTGGAGGCCAATTCTGTGGAGGAGGAAAAGTGGGACAGTATGGGCTTAAACCCTGGTCAGTGGCTCTAACTAGAATACCAAGAGGCAACTCACAGCAATCTCTTTGAGTCTCAGTTTCTCTATCTACAAAAACAAGTTGAAAGTGCCTCCTGCTTAGTATGTCTGGGTTTAAATAATTGAGTTCCTCACCTACTGGGGTGATACACACCTGAAATTCCAGCACGCAGGAAGCTGAGACAGGAAGATTGTGAGTTTGAGGCCCCCCCCTGAATTACAGGGTGAAACTATTTCAAATCAAAAACAAACAAACAAAAATCAAACCCTTCTTGCCTGGGGTCTGAAACAACAGCCCATCAATAAATATGCTTCCCTCAGTCTTGCTGCTTGGGGAGTCTTGAAAAAAAAAATCATTCTGGCTCTTTGAGATTTCAGAACAGTGTTTGTCTCAAATTAGTAACGAATGAAGGTCAACTTTACAGATGATCCCATTTTGCCATATCTCATGAAGCAAATGCATATATTTATAACCACAGAGCATTATCTTCATGACCTAAGGATTTCTCACTTTCAACACAGGCTTATTTCTCTAAGATGACCTTAAAGGGTAAAGATATGGAAAACATTTATATTCCTCCCAACCTGGCTAGGGCATCCATTTTACTTCTACAACATGGCAAAAGCCAATAACAGAGTTCAAAAATCAACACCGCAGCTCAGCAAACACACTGCAATCCACAGAGTGATTGCTATGGAGCTTTTACCCTGAGTCCTCAGACTGAGGAGGGCAACACCTGCCTGCCAATCTCAGAAGCTGCATACCTCCTAACTAATATACATTGCGGTGGGGAGGGCAACCCCTGCCTGCCAATCTCAGAAGCTGCATACCTCCTAACTAATATACATTGCTGATGGCTGCTCTGTGGCCTAGCTTTTCACTCTCATCCTGGCTGCCTGAAGCCCAGGTAAAGCTTTCCATAGGTTACACTCTACCTGCCCAAGCAGCATTCCCTCTCAGCTCCGGGCTCCTGCCAAGCAACAACCTAGAGAACTTTAGGCTTAATAGGAAGGAGCTGGAGCATCAAGAAATTGGATGTACCTTGATGGGGAGAGGTCTTGGAACTTGTTCTGCAGGTTATGGATTTCGCTGAAAAGTTTCAAGTTCAAATCCTGCTCCTTCAATAGCTCCTGCTCTTGTTCCACCAGCTGCTGTTTGAGGTTCTCTAGCATCCCACTATCAATCATCTCTGGGGTTAGTGGACGGAGGATTTTCATGTGCTTCACATATCGTACTTGGTGCAACCTTGAAAATGTCCTCTCTTCTTCATCAATATGGTCCTTGGGCTTGTTCAAGCCATCTTGAGCTCCCTCTGTCCCACACAAAACTGTGATAATGGCTTCACTGCACTGAGAGTGCTTCTGTAACTGGACAATGAAGTTCCGGTAGCCATCCAGTTCAGTTTGCAAGTTGTGGATTTTCTGTTTTAAGTCTTCATTGTCACTGGAGACATTGATGTTCTCAGACTGCTCAGTCTCAATCACACTGACTTTAACGGAAAGCTGACTGCTGGAATTCAAGTAAGTGGCTCCAGAGGTTGGGCCTAGGAAGTCTTCAGGGTTCTCTTCGCATGCTGGTAATAAGGCAAGGTCATCAGGCGGAGAAATTTCAGAATCTGAAAATCAAATACTAATTTTTGTCAGTATCTCCTCTGCTGCAATCAACCCTTAATGTTGCCTGAGCCATGGCTGAGTTAACACTAACACAATAGCCACCTGCCTCTAGGGTTTCCCATAGCTGAGCTGAACTCTAGATCTTAAATGTTCAAAAGGCCATGAATTAAAAGCTTGGTTTTTCTGGTACTGCTGGAAGGCTGTGCTAGATTTAGGAGGTAAGGCCTAGGACAAGAAAAATCATCACTGAAGAGGATATGGAGACCCTACCCATGAGCCAAAATACTTTCTATCCCTTCAAGCTGATTGTCTTATGAATGTTGTCATGCTCTAGAAAGCTTACTGGCACACCATTATACCATTCAATACACCCTCTTTCTCAGATAAATGTTCTAAATTAACCATGATAAACCAGCAACACACCTAAAACCAATCAGCACTTCTACTCTGATACTCCCATGATCCGGTTAGAAGCATCCCAGGCCCACACTCCACCCACAGAGAGTTCCTACAAAACCATCAGAACCTTCTGCACACATCAAGCTGTTTCACGCTTCCATGCTTTTGCATGTACTGTGCCTTGAATGCTCACTTGTCCTTCCACACTCAGGTCTAATTTTTCTTTTTCTGTGAACTCACCTTTGGACTATGCACTCCCCTGTGTGCATTTCTGTGCCTAAATGTTTGTCTATGCGCCACATGCATACAGGGTCAGGAGGGGGTGTCAGAACTGGTGTTAGATGCAGTTGTGAGCTGCCTGTACATAGGTGCTGAGACAGGTACTTTGCAAGAGCAGCAAGGGTTCTAAGCTACTGAGATATCTTTCTAGGCCTGAAAAATATCTTTTTGTCTGTTTGTTTGTTTGTTTGTTTGTTTTTTGAGACAGGGTTTCTCTGTGAAACAGTCCTGGCTGTCCTGGAACTTGCTTTGTAGACCAGGTTGGCCTCGAACTCACTGTGATCTGCCTGCTGGGATTAAAGGCGTGTGCTACCAAAACCTGGCTGAAAAATACCATTTTTAAAAAATCAATAGACCTAGCTTCCAACACCGTCTCTGCCACTTTGTTTTGAATAAACTTACTTGAGCAAATTAATGAACCGCTCTGAGACCCCAGAATTTCACTTGTAAAGTAGAAAGAATACTATTCACTGAGAAAAAGGAGCTGTGTTTATTTGTTGGGATTATATTGAACAATATCAGGAAAAGGCTAGTATAGTTTTTTGAACACAGCAGTAAAGGAACCAGCTAACAGCCCCATGCTTTCCTAGAATCAATTGGTCAAAGACGGAAGAAGTCATCATGGGAGGCATCCAAGCAAAAGATGGCTTAAGAAAAGCCTTTAAGGGGAACAATGTGAGCTGGACCAGATGACCTAGGATGGTTCTTTGACAGAAAATCATATCGACATTCTGTGGAACTAAAGAAGCTACAATTTGTTCCTCATAATTTCAAGTCCACTCTTGCCTTTGTTCAAAATACCAACATCATCAGTTTGTTTATAGACAACAGTGAGAATATGTGTTAACAGAAGTATTCTCAGTACAGCATTTCTATAGTGCACAAGTAGGAACCAGGCCATTTATCTGGTTCTCTGTATCTGGCATGAGTGATGGAAAGGGTATATGGTACCTTTATATAGCTCAGAGTGTAAGGAACAGAAAGAACAAGCAAGAGATCACTCAACAAAAATTTTCTTGCAGGGAGTAGTCATCCTCCAAGATGAGGAAATATGTAAATATATCCAACCTTAGCTCCATAAGTTACATGTGTCCCAGGAAATCATGAATGCAGCCCAACACATTGGGAGACCACAATGTCATGCTACAATGTCAAAAGAGTGGGGCACCCTTCTATTTTTGGTTGTGAGCCTAGCCTTTAACAGCTGAGCCATCTCTCCAGCCCATGGGCACCCTTCTAAACATACCAGTCTCATTATACTATGGCCTGCATTAGATAACAGGAAGAAATGTTCCCTCAAAGAACTAAAGATGAATCACATTTTTGTTGTTGTTGTTAAGGAATCATGATGCAAAGACAAATGCTACTCCTATCACAGTCACTTTGAGACAGACTGTGATCAGCACTGATTTTTGGGTACTCACACAATTTGGGTATACTGAGAGTACATGGGAGAGTGTGCATGCTAACATTCACACTTAGATCTCCACTTTAAACACTGCTCCTAACGATGAAATAAGCAGAGCATTCCTAAACCTTCAAGGTTGTATAGAAACCTAATAGAGTAGATATTTGCTAAAGTATATACATATATGAAAGTGATCTAAATGAAATCACCAAATAATGGGGGAGACAGAGTCCCAATTGTCCACTTCTCATCATCAAATGAAGCTTTCAGTACTGGGACTGGGTTACGTCTAATTGAGTTGTTGGCCCAAGGAACCCCATAAGGATCTCCAAACAAGCCAGACTGTCACCAAGACTGTATTATATTATTATCCCTTAAAAGCCTGCTTGTTTTCAAATCAGAGACAGAAAGGGAGTAGAGGTGGGGAGGATCTGAGAGGAGTAGAGTGAGGGGAAACCATAATCAGTACATATTATGTAAGACAAAAATCTGTTTTCAACAAAAGGGGAAAAAAAGGATAAATAACACCCTGCCCCCAAGTACTTTCAAAAGTTCACAATTTATAACAATTTGTGATTTAACAAAGGCAGGATTTGACTTCCCAGCTCCAAGGTTAATATATAGCAAGTCTCTCAGTCAGCACCAGCAAAACAATGTAACTTTGTTATTCTGTGCTCAGCAGCCCTTGATGAAGGTCTGAGCAAATTACTTCCACTGTTTGGTTAGAACTGTATAAATGTTGTGGGGAAGGACTATATATGTATAAATGTGCGTGTGTGTACATGTATATATGCGAATGTATGTATGTATGTATGTATGTATGTATGTATGTATGTATGTATGTATATATGTATGTACATACGTACGTACGTACATATGTATATGCCTGAACTTGCAAGCTGGTAGGCCTTGGGACTTAGATCATGTATGTGCCAAGACCTGCCGATGGATCTAGCACCTCACCTGAATTGTCTGTTACTGAAGTGGAGGCCAAGGCTTTAAGAGCTGGAGCTGCCCAAAGTAAAAAGTAGAAACACCTCAAATGTTGCTTTCTGCCACACGGCTCCTCTGCCTGTGGTTTCCTCTGTGAGTCACATGAGCAGAGACAGTTCTGAACACTCAAGAGTAAGACCAATAGCACCTGTGCAACTGATGCCCTCCATTCCTTCCCCAAGCACCTACCAAGATGTTCTTGACAAAGGAGCCAAAGCTAAAGTGTCACCCATGACATGCAGGCCTGAGCCAGGCAGACACTGAATACATAACTCAACATCAGTACTCAAGTGCTAGGATATTCAAAAACTATGTCCACAAAAGGTACAACTTGGGTGAGGACCTCAGGATGAAGCTTCATCAAGGCAAAAAGAGAAGGGGCGTTCCAGCAGAGGCAGCGACGTGTGCACAGCTCAGGAGGCACACTCAGAAAGACAAATGCAGCTCAGTGACAAATGGGTTCTGAGAGGGGAAGGAACCATCCAGAAACATCAACTAATCCCTAGCTATGAACAAGAACCACATTCCACAGCTTCTAAAAACAGCACCACCAACTAAGGCCCAAGTGTTCCAACTCAAGAACCTGTGAGCAACATTTCACTTTCAAACCATAACCCACAGTTGAGCTAACCAGCACTTTGCTTCCTGACATAGCAGCTTTTTCTTGAAAGCCCAGACCATCCCAAAGAACAAGACCATGCAATCAGCACAACCTCTAGCCTGGGAGAATGCACAGCAGAGGGCCTGGGGGCCACAGCTCCATCTTTTTTGAGAGGCCACCTATTCCCTGCCATCTTGTCACAGATTTAGAATTCCCAATGACCACAACTTCTTGCAAAGTGAATTCAATCCAGAACACGAATGATTTTGTTTTTAATGAAAGGATAAAAGATCTAGGGTAAAAAGAATAAGCATAAGGATTAGCTCATCCTGACTGGGCAGGAATGTGAGTCATTGTTGTACTGTCCTTTGTGTATGTTTGTGAGATTATAATACTTCATGATAAAGGGAGGGGATACAACTTTCTGGAGTCCTCACTCATCTCTGCATCATCCCCACTGACCTACTGGGAAAGTTCACAATCTTGGTCTCAGCAGCAGGCTCTTCTTGGATCTACTCTTCCTGGATGGACAGAGAGCAACTCAACAACAGCCAACACTAAGCTGGAAGCTAATGACCTACTACAATCCCATGTCCCTGAGGTTTCTTGGGAGATGACACTGTGTCTTCTCATGGTCAATAACCCTCTGCCTTGCACAAGTGTCTGATAATAGACCAGAAAGTCCCACTAACATTATGCTGTGCCCTGCCTCTCCTGCCTTCTTACCAGCTGTGTGACCCTAAGTCACTCATTTTCATATAACTTCCTCTGTCCTTTGTGTTATATGGGAACGATAATGAATCCCAAAAGAGAGACTTTTAGGGCCTAGTAAGGACATTGATGCAAATGGTCCCGAACAATGAGACAATGCCTAGTACTCAGTAGCTGATGCATGGTGGTTGAATTCTAACCGATCTCAAAGCCTGTGTATTGGTCACTGTCCACTTCCTTGTCTCTCCAAGAAGAATGCGTGGTTTCAGGTCCTTCTTGCTCGCCTGGGTTGTCCTGGCAGGCTGCTCTCACATCAGGCTGAGCTGCAGGCCCTGGCAATGAGAAAGAAAAATAAAACAGTAGACTTGAAACTTAGCCAAGCAACTGAGAACACAAAGATACAACCAGGAGAATAAAAACACTGGGGAGGCAAAATGTAATTTATAAGATAAAATTAATCTATCAAGCTGCCATAACAGGACATAAAAGCATAAATATAGTACAGCTTGTCTGAAATGGTTTAAGTCCAAGTTTTCAAGAAACTATGAGTGAGAAAATGAATTCCATCAACTGATGCCCACTTTCCAACGTGAGAAAAGCCCCAGAGGCTTCTGGGTGATAGCTAGAGCAGCACCTGGCTAATACACTCTAGGGTCTCAGCAAGTGTGGACAGCAGATGGCAAGTCCTAGATAAATGCCAGTCTCTCTGCTGGCTGGGTCACCTCTGCCAGAGCACTTACCTCTAAAGCCCCAACCCACCCCCAACACTGTTTAATTATCAGCCCCCACCCTAATACAACCGGGAACTCTCAGAAGGTAGAGAACTATATATGGTCTGTCTTTCTCCTGTTTCTCAAGCTCAATGGAAACACAGCAGGCAGTCAGATAATGTGTACTAACAGGGTGACTAGATGGATGGACGGTAGGATTAACAGGAAATGGGAAAGAAGGGAGGAAAGTCTGATTCTGTAGAATACGACTGACCCTGAAACCTCAAGTAAGTGAATCTAAGAAACAACCTAAAATGAAAGGAAAGCTGCTCTGGCTGCACAGCAATACAAAATCCCTATGAGAATGTTATATATTAGGCCCAATGGAAGAAGCTACTTCATATGGAGCCCTGGCAATGAGTACCAGAGAGTAACTGTGTCTAAGTCACTTCCTCTCTTCAACTTCACATGGGCTTAAGATGGAGACTATAATTACTGGAACTGCCTCCAAAGACAGTAACAAGATGCAATTAGATCATGTATTTAATATGTGCGATGGGTTCAACAATTAACAGGGACTCATTTTATTAGTGCCACAGGAAACCCAGGGCTCTGAGAATCACCTCCAACCCCTGAACCACTTCTACAAATGTCCCGATCTTACACAACTTCCTGTCCAGTACTTGAATCTTTCACTGGCAAGCTAGAAACAGCCAAGCAAGCCAAGCTTGCAAATTAGCCCCCATAATCTCATAGAGAGTGGCACTATTAGGAGGTGTGGCTTTGTTGGAGTGGGTATGGCCTTGTTGGAGTTAGTGTGTAACTGTGGGCTCAGGCTTTGAGGTTTCCTAAGCTTAAGATACTGCTCAGTGTCTCAGACCATTCCCAGTTGCCTTCAAGATGCAGGACTTTCAGCAACTTCACCAGCACTATGTCTGTTTGCATACCGCCATACTCCCTGCCATGACGATAATGGGACTGAACCTCTGTAACTATAAGTGAGCCACCCCAATTAAATGTTTTCCTTGTAAGAGTTGCTGTAGACATGCTGTCTTTATACAGCAATAGAAATACTAACTACAACACTTTCTGAACATTTGTCTCAGTCCTTGCTCTAAGAAAACTTGGGTTGTCCTGAGGAAACTGCTTCTCCTGAAGCCTTTGTGGTAGAGGCTGTTATTCCCACATCCCTGTATCATAAGTTTGGAGGTTCATAATAGCCTGTGCTTCTTGCTGCCATATGCATACCACTCATTCCTCCAGAAATCCCAACTGTGCAGCTCCTGCAGCAGACTGCCCTCTGATTACCCCACTTTCTTCAGTCATCTCAGTCCCCTGGTTCACTGGGTCTCTATAGATTCAATGGCAACTTGGAACCTGGTGGCCCTACCCCCTTTACACCTCCCAACAGTGCAATTCCACAGAAATCTCTATCCTTGGTGTCTAACTTCTGGTCTCTATGTTTTCCTGGAACCCATGCCCATTAGGCCCCTCCCAAGAAGTTTTCTTCTTAAAGCCCTCATTAAACACCAAGACAGATCTCCAAAGCCTCTTCTCACCATCAATATCTGACCACAACTCTAAGTCAGCTTCTGAGATGCTGAGATGTCACCCTTACTTGGCGTCCCACCTCACCTGCTATCCCACCTCATTCCAACCTCTAACCTCTGGAGCTGCTCAGTCTCATCTCTATGGATATGAGCTATATAATATCAAATATCAGTATATGTGGCTGGTTTCTTTTCAAGCTTACCCCCTCTCCTACACACCAAACTCACTTGTCTCCAAGTCTACCTGAAGTCTCTACTGGGATGTTCAACAAACCCTTAGCCAGAAATCTAACATCCTGCAAGCAGGCCTCTACTGTGGTCTTTCCCATCCTATTGCAAGGCATCCCCATCCTTCCCATAGAGTGCAAAGGAAGTTAGTTATCCCTTTAAAACACAAGTTGGCCTGTTGCCATTAAAAAGAAAAATGATTCATTTTTAGACTTTAGGGTCTCTATCATACCTTTAACTCTACTTCATAATAAAAGTTACAGGTGGCATGTGAATGAGCCGGGCTGGGTATCAATAAGCTTAAATCACAAAAGCAAGCAGCAAGCTTGATTTGGCCACAGAAAGTACTTTGTCAACTCCTGTTCTAAAGCTTAAGTCAGATAGATCATGTCACTGTGTGGCTCAAAAGCCTCAAACAGTTTCTATTCTTGTGAAGATGAAGGCTCAGAGTGGTCTCTGATAGCACACCTACCTGGTCTGCTGCTCACTGACCTCATCTTCCTCATCTCTGCCTCTCTCCCATGCCATGCACACCAGCCATGTCTGGTCTCCTTACTCCATACCCAAGTTCTCAAGTACAAAACAATATCAGGGCTTTTGCCCTTGTTCCTTTCCCCCAGGATGAAGAGCATGCTAACTGCTCCCAGTTTCCAACCAAACTCCACCTTGTCATGGAGTATTCTAACATTCATGAGTATTAGTGAACTCTATTCACTCCTCATTCCCCCATCCCTCATCCTACTGTACTGTTTTCAACCACACTTTTCATGGACATTGTATTATACACTTAGCAGCTTGCTTTCATACACACTCAAGAACATAAGCTGGAAACAGATTTCATCTGTTTTGTGCTCCTATCACCACTGAGCCTCAAACAGATTGGCACACAGGGTCTAGTCCATTATTATCATGGCAGGAAGCAAGGCAGCATACAGGCAGACATGGTGCTGGGGCAGGAGCAGAGAGCCCTTACATCTTGACCTGAAGCAACAGGGAGCGGTCTGAGAAACTGGACAGTATCTTGAGCATAGGAGACCTCAAAGCTTGCCCCCACAGTGACACACTTCCTCCAACAAGGCCATAGGTACTTCAACAATGCCACACCTCCTAGTAGAGCCAATACCATAGGGGGCCATTTTCTTCCAAACTACCACATTCTACTCCCTAGCCCCCAAAGGCTTGTAGCCATATCATAATACAAAAATACATTCAGTCCAACTTCAAAAGTCCCCATAGTCTGCAACAGTCTCAAACTTATTTAAAAGTCTAAAGTTCAAAGTCTCTTCAGAGATTCATGCAATATCTTAACTGTAATCCCCTGTAAAATCAAAAGCAAAAAGCAGATCACATACTTGCAACATATAATGGGACAGGATATACATTATCATTCCAAAAGGTAGGGAAGGGAGCACAGTGAGGAAATACTGGCCCAAAGCAAGACTGAAACCGAGCTGGGCAAACTACAAACTCTGCAGGTTCATGTCTGATGTCAAACGCTCTTCAGATTGTTCTCCAATTCCTTTCAGCTTGGGTGACTGCAACACACTTCTTTCTCTTGGGCTGGTTCCACTCCCTGTTAGCAGCTTTCCTCAACAAGTATCCTATGGCTCTAGCATCTCCAACATCTTGGAGTCTCCAAGATAATCCAGAATTATCTTCATAGGTTCACGAAAATGGCCTCTCTAGGCCTCCTTCAGGGACCCCTTTGACACATGTTTGGCCTCAGTGACTTTCCTTAGTTCTTTCTTCTATCCCTAAAGCTAGGACAATGTGGCTGAAGCTGCTAAATTCTGCTGCTTACTGGGGCTGGAACATGGTCCCCTTGATCAATTTTATATCTTCACCAGCTTTCCATTTTTGAGGGTTACCTTCATTGCCTAAGCTTGGCTGTTCTGGAACTGGATCTGCAGACCAGGCTGGCCTCAAACTCAGAGATCCACCAGCCTTTGCCTTCCCAGTGTTGGGAATAAAGGATGCCCCATGGATGTTGCCTTGAGGTCACCACTCCCTTTATCCCATTTGTTAATCTGTTTATTCCCTTGAATGCAGTTCTTACCTGCTGCTTTTCTCCTCAAATTTTACATTTTACACTTTGGACTTTTCCTTGCTCAGCTTGCTCCTTCTCATTATATATCTTCATTAGAGTTAACACTAGCAACCACACAATAGAGTCTACACTGGGCTGTTTTAAGATTTCCTCAGCCAAGGGATTTAATCCAAAACTCTTCATTTTAGCCTCAGCCAAACTTTTCAGACAAGGGTAAAGAGTAGCCACATTCCTCACCAAAATATCACAAGAACAATTTCTAGACAACATATCAAACTCTTCTCTGAAACCTCTTCAGCCAACCTCTGACAGTTCAAATTAACTCTTAGCACTACCGTCTTCCATGCTCCTACTAGAATGGCCCATTAAGCAGCACTAATAGAATTCTACTTCTTTCCTAGCCCAAAGAACCAAAGTTCAAATTCCTCCAAACCAAAACATGGTCTGGTATTTCATATCAATCCTGTCCATGGTACCAACTTCTGTCTTAGTTAGGGTTTCTATTGCTGTGAAGACACACCATGACCATGGTACTCTTATACAGGAAAACTTTTAATTGTGTTGGCTTTGCTTACAATTTCAGAGGTTTAGTCCATTATTATAATGGTGCAATACGGTGGCATGCAGGCAGACATGGTGCTGGGGCTGAGAGTCCTACATCTTGATAGGCAGGCAACCAGACCTGGATGTCTCACTGGGCATGGCTTGAGCATATATGACACCTCAAAGTCCACCTCCATAGTGACATGAAACACTTCCTCCAACAAAGTCACACCTCCTAATAGTGTTATTTTGGGGGCCATCTTCTTTCAAACCACCACATTGGTTGTCTGCAATCTTTAAGTACTACTGTACTGAACTAGGAGACACCTACTTCAGCTGTCTGAGATGTTTTGTCCACGCCTTTGGATTCGACCTCCTTGGACATACTTTAACCCACAGGTGCCAGAAGGACCATGAGTAGGGAAGCAGGTTACGCATACAGAAGAAAATCAGTAGCATCTGAGGTGAGACTCGAGTTAGCCAGATAACTCTGCAAAGAAGACCATCACTTAGAAACCGTACTACCACCTGATAAGTCTCTCACAGACCTAGGAGCCAGTCAAAAAACTCCAGATTCAAATCAAGGCATCCACACACAATTCCAAAGCAATGCAGCAGAGACCCCTGCCTCCATCACCTCCAACATCTGAGAATACTACAAATCACACTAGTCTAGACTCCAAAAGAAAAGGAACCAATTGATTTGTTTCCCTTCTCACATTTACCCACCATGCATTCTTCAGGAGTTAAGATTAATCACTGCAGTTCATTGAACTTATATACAACTGTTCTGCAATTTTGTACAATAGGAACAGCATTTTAGGCAGTTCTGTGGGCTGCTCACCTAGCTCATGGAGAACATATTTTCTTGATGCTTACCATTCAGCAGCTCCGGGTTGGGTATTGCCATCCCCTCTATCATTGCCTCTGCCAGAAGTAGCTTGTCATGGAGTTCCTTATTGTATGTTTTATACTCCTTCAGCTCCCTCTGCAGCTCTAGAACATGGCCCTGGAGCTGAGCCACCACCTCTAAGGAGGCAGGAAGAGCATACATATTTTCCAATAACTCAGATGTTTTCAATTGGATCAGCAAGCCCGTCTTCTCAGCATCCTGTAAACACACATGTACAGTAGTGAGTATACTTAAAATATGCTTTCTTTTGTTTCATAGGCAACATTTTTGTGTTTTAAAAATAGGTTTCAAACTGCTCACCCACACCTCTAGTCTTATAATAGCATCTCTAGGAAAGAACATACATCTTGGCAGATCTACACACACACACACACACACACACACACACAGACACATATACACACACTGACTGTCAAGGGCACTTCTTTACATCCTCTAAGCCCTGGCCCATGATCTCTTCAGATAATCCAAACATTCTAAAAATGGGCATCCCATAGGTTCCATCTTCTAGGAAATGTTTTTATTTTTGTTTTTATCTGTTTCCTCATTTTCCACCATTCTTCGTATGATCCCATTTGTCTTATATTCTTGCTAGTCCCTTACTTAAGTGGCTACTGACTGGGTTGCTACCTAGTGTATTTCTCAAACTCAGAGCTTCCAACCTGCCTAATCTAGATGAAAGCTTTATAGGCCATCAACTACTTGATTGCACCATGCCACATCCCCATCAGCAGGTTCCTACCACAGCTCAACCACTCACCACACCAGCCAGAAAGCTAAGAATCTTTATAAAACCCTCTTTATTCTCATCACTCGCTTTCATTGCTCAGCAGACTCCAGTAAGTACAATTCCTAAGGTACTTCTCGGTTCTTCTAACTCTCCTCATCTTCCTCTGGCACCCCTAGGATAGGGGTGTAACAATCATCTAGGCATCCTCCTGGATGTGTAACATGCATTTTGAATCTCTAATCTACACCATGCTGCAGCAAAAAGGCAAAGTGGTTATTCCTTGTTGTTTAAAAGCATAACAGTCTGCTGGGTATTTTAAGTCATAGGTCAATGTCCATGCCATAGCATACAAAGTGCATGACCCACAGTCTAAGTCACTGCCTGTCCCCACTTCAACCTACTCTCTGATCACGCTAACCTCAAAATGCCATGCTTCTTATAACCTCAGGGCTTTAACACATGCTCTGTCTAGAACACAAATTCTTGCTCACCTCCACTTCCCTACTAAGCCATTCATCAGGACAGTTCAAATTTGCCATACTCAAGAGAACAAGCCCTTGACTCTCAAGTCCAAGCCAAAGCTTCCTGTTATACACTCAGTGTTTCCTGCCATTTTCTCCAGAGGACATCAGCATCAGTGTAATGGCTGAGAAAATCCATTTACTGTCTCTCTTCCTGAATGTAAGACCCAGGATTTTAGCATCTGCCTATCTGTATCACACTTATCATAGGTTCCAATCCAGTATATAGTAGACACTCTAGAGTCCAGATGAGAATTTTAAGTGGTGAATTTCAAACATACTACAAAATGAGAAGAGGGACTCAAACCTAGAATATATAAAGTATATAAAGTATTACAACTCAATAATAATGAAATATAATGGTCCAATTAAAAACTGGGAAAGGGACGAGGCAGGCATGTCTCTGGAGGAGACAACATAGGGCTAACAAAGCACATGGGAGAATAGTCAGCATCACTGGCCATCAGAGAAATACAACTGAAATCTCAACAGAATACACCCATGCCTTTTCATTCCCACTAGGGAAGCTACAGTCAGCGATGGTACCAAATGGTACCAAAGGAAGTGGTGGAACTGGAAGCCTCATACACTGCTGGAAGGAAGGTAAAATGGCACAGCCACTAAGTCAGAAGTTCCTCAAAATGGCTAACCAGAGAGTAACCATGTAGACCATTATCTTTACTCCTGGGTATCTACTCAAGATAAGTAAGAACACCTGTCCACACAAACATCTGTATGAGTAACAACAAAATGCATAATATCCAAAATAAAATGTGCAATAGCCATACCCCAGAATGCTATGTGGTGATAAAAATAAAGGAAGAACTATCTCATGTCACAATATAAATGAACTCTAAAAGTATTATGTTAAGTGGAAAAGCTACTCACATGGTGCAGGGTGCTACTATAGGACTTATCTGAGAACAGGAGGTAGATTAGTGGCTGCTTAGCACTTGGGATGGGCAGGTGAGAAACTGGTTTGACTACTAAGGGAATTATGACTACTAAGGGAATTATGGAAATGTTCTATCATACTTGTTCTCAAAGAACCAAGATTTCAAACAGGTACTCCAATACCATATGGCAGGCAAGAAGGCTCAGGGATCAAACCAGCTCTTCAGATTCCAAGGCTATTAGGAAAAGTGAGATGCTTTCTGTCCTGAAGTTCCAAGGAAGAGAAGAGAAAATGTTCAAGGACAAGGGCAGTTTGAGGAAGTGAGAGGAACCACTTGGGAGGAGACAAATGCCTCCGCAAAGGAATAGGAAATAACAGTCAATTTCTTGGACTCGGATCTCCACCAATCTTTCTTCTTGGACCCAAATCTGTGTGTCATATGGCAAGAAAGAAGAGATGAAGTGCACAAATGCCAAAGCCTATTTAAAGCTGGAAGATGGCCATCAGTCAACCTAACACAAGTTCTGAAATAACACCACCTAAAATGCTGCTGTATGGACTGGAGCAGTCTCACCTACCATTGTTATTAACAATAGTAGACTGTAAAACCTTACTTAGGAATGGAATTCACATGTTCTGCTCCTGCCACACATCCACACTGCCCGAGACACTTAGATTCTTACTTCACTGTATTCCCATATTGCCAGGGAATCTGGGTTGCACTGATCCCATTCAAGGTACTGAGAGAGGTCAGGAGGGCAGCCAGGCCTGATACAAGCACAAATATGGCTATAAAGTCCACTACAACCACATAACCAGGAGGCTATCTGGTTTCTGTCTCACCTGTAAGCTGCAGTAAAATGCTTTTTAACTAGATACCAGAGTTCTGGCTTAAGTCATTGGATTACTAATTCTGCCACTACCAAACCCACAAAGGAATCCAAGGACGGCCTTCCTCTGAAGCCAAGCAAGCAACTATCCCCTTTCCACTTGCCAGCTGAGGCATTCTGGACAGGTCTCAAAGTCTCATGGCAATGTGTTTCTTCCTGTGTACAATGACTATAATACCTACTCATATATTTGTTGAAAAATTAAATAAGATTGCGAACTCAGCACAGTCCTTGGTACATAGAGCTGATGCTAAACACAAGTAAATGAATACATAAAATTTCCCTCATCTTGAAAACATGGCAAAGGTAATTTTATTTAAAAATAAAATTAATATATTTGGAAAAATTAAGTCCACTCAATTATCCAATTTCCTGAAGACAGAATGGCATCTACCATACAACAGAAAAAAGCAAACCAAACAAAAAAAGAAAAAATAATAATAAACCTACCCAGTTTTCCTAAAACACAGGTACAAACTGAAGGAGCTGGGGCAAACAAGAGCAATTCTATTCTAGCCAATTTGAACAAATTTGCATTTTGAGTACCATTAATATAATGACAGTATATGTATTTTTTTTTGTTTTAGTCTCTACTGATATCTTTAGAAAACCCTTTTCTAGAAATTACAGTTTTGGTGCATAATTTAAAACAATCAAAAGCAATTTTGCTAATGATATATCTAACTCTGTTTGGTAGGCACAAAAGCAGTAATTTAGTGGTCAGAAAATAAACTTAATTCCCATTCTGATGCTGTGAAGCAGTGTGTACAGTGGATGTCTATGCTACAAAACAGCCATCAGAAGCAAGCATCCCCCAGCCTTCACTAAAGGTATCAGAATCATGACCTCTTTCTTCTCCACCAGAACACATCTCCATTACAGAGAGTCTCAGTCCCAACCCTTATTCCCAAAGGACTGCAATACAGGTCCAATTATACACTGCCAAGAAAGTAGGATTCTTAATCATCTGGCCGGTGTGACTGTGCTTACAGCTTACAGAGCAGCTCAGAGAGAAAACCACACACATTCACTCAGCAAAACCAGACCTCTCCATTTTGGGCCACTGTGGCTGGAGGGCAGCTTGGCAGGGAACAGGGATGGTCTTGCAGGCATATAGAGTGGGAGCCCCACCTAGGCCCCTTACTTTAGGCTGGCTAACCCTGAGCACTCAGAATCTCACATCCAACAGAAATAAAGTCCTCAGAATGATGTCTCCCACACAAAGTCCTCCTAAAAGAGAAGCCAGGCTCCCATCCTCTAAAGTTGGGTTGTTACAATTTTACTGCAATGTGCAAAGGGAAATGCCCTTCAATAGATAAGAACTGTATAAACTCTGGTCCAATGGAATCTTAAGCAGCCATCATGGGGAAACATCCTACTTCATAAAACCAAAGAGAAAGCTGCAGGCAGATGGATAAACAGAATCCCATGTTGCTTTTCCTAGTGAAAACACAAATGCAATTAAGATTGGGCTAGAGCCAGGGTAAAGAGTGGGAGGAGAGGAAGAGGAGGACAGAGAGGAGAAGCCTGGAGTTGGAGGCTAGAGACAACACAGGAAAAGGGAGCTGCCAAACTTGGCTTTCACAGAAACAGAAAATGTGGTGGCATTGAAGGTAATTTTAACCCTTTGTTGTTGTTGTTTAAGGTAAATACATAATTAATATACAGAAAGCCTTACCTTGTTGACTGTACTGGAGAATGAGTGGAGAGTAGCCCCTAGCCCTGGCATCTCAGACAAGGTCTCTGACTCAGGGTCAGTGCTGAAAACGGCCTCTTCTGTTTTTTCTTCCCAAGCTTCTCTCTTCCCTTCAGATTTGAATTCATGGGGTGTGTCCTCTATGGTGATGGTTTGCACTGAGGCATTCTTCAGCTCCACCTTGGCTTCATCACCTGTTTTTACTAGCTCCCATGTTGACTTGAGTTCATTGTGTGATTTGGAGAATGAGTTTTCTTGTAAAGAATGGCCAAGTTCATCCCTGAACTGAATAGCGACTTGCCGGAGTGCCTTCTTAGCTTTACTATCAAGGTGATTTCCAGGAAGCACCTGCTCTGCCAAGCATATTCGATCCAAAAGTAAGGCTCCAAGTGCTTTCAGAAGATCTGGCCTGATTTTTCAAAAAGAAGACAGTAGGAGAATCAGCCTCTTGCTTCAGCTTTGTTGACAACCCAGTCTGTTTCCCCCCACCAATCCTTTCCAGATTCCACCTACATTAAACATTCTGAGTTTTCAAATATGCCAGGAACCAGGACAAGCATTTGACCTCATGCAACCTGACAACACCCAGACAAGGCAGGTATTACCCTGTTTAGTTCATGGTTGTCACACAGGTACAAAGCCAGTTAAGTTGACCACATGGCTAAATGAAAAGGGGCTTCCCTAGGAAAGAGCAAATGGGATCACAGGGTTCCCATGGCAATTTTAGGGTGTCCCAATCTATGACATCGGTCCCATTCCTATGTTCAGTATACAAGTGTGGCATTGGATGAATTGTGGCAGCCTGGGTCGTCCATGGGTGACTTGTTCCATCTTACTGTATAACAGGTGCTCAATAAACAAATATTAATGAAGGGATGCTTCATTAACAAGCACAGAGATAAAGCACAAAGAGCATTGCTTTAAAGGCTGTGCTAGTTGGCTTTTTGTCAAATTGACACAATCTAGCATCATTTGAGAAGAGGGAATCTCAATTGAGAACATGTCCCTTCATATTGGCCTGTAGTCAAGCCGTGGGACATTTTCTTGGTTGACTCATACAGAAGGACCCAGCCAACTGTGGGCAGTCCCATCCCTGGGCAGCAATCCCAAATGTATAAAGAAGCAGCCTGAGCAAGCCAGTAAGCAGCATTACTTCATAGTCTCTACTTCAGTTCCTGCCTTGTTTTCTCTGATGATGAGCTATAACCCATAAGCCAAATAAAAGCCATCCTCCCCAAGTTGCTTTTGGACATGGTCTTTCTCACAGCAATAGAAAGAAAACTGGGACAATGACAAATAAAATGACTTCAGGGGTTTAGTGTGTTCCTCAGAGACAGAGCATTTGGTTAGCATGTTCAAATAAATAAATGAATAAAAAAAAAAAAAAAAAACTTAAATGGCACCAAACTCTATGTGATTCTTTGACAGGAAGGTAAATCTCCTTCCACAAAATAGGAAGACTAAAAGAGCAATGGAGACTAAAACAGGTAGCATCCTGACAGCAGGTGTTCTTCAATGTCCCTTGCCCCACCTCTAACAGCAGTTGTAGATACAGCAGGTCCCACTTCAAGCACCCTGTGCTTTTGTTCTGCCCTGGGGCTCTTTCCAAAGCTGAGTCAGCCAGCAAGACAGGGTGAAGTGGTCAGAGAGCTGACATCTCTGGGCTGAGAGCCGTGGTATGAATGTCCTAGCTTCCATCCTGAGGACATAGGCCCAGCTACACTGCCCACCAGAGAGTGCCCGGCTGCTCAGACCAACCATACCATCTCCAGTGGCTTTCTGCTCCCATATACACAAGTCTGAGTCTCTGGCTCTGCTTTTCAGGGACTTGGAGTAAAGCCAGCATGGGAAGTACCCAGGATGGTTCTGGTATGGCACATGTTGGAAGACTCCATTATGTGGGGGACACTGAACACAAGGCACAAGTGCTACAGCAAAGATGTAAACTGATGCTAAAAAGGGATATGCAAATAAGTGACTAATCCACAAAGGAAAGGGGGAAACACAGGGGAACTGAATAGTGGTGTAAGCATGACACTGAAATGAACAGTCATGTCACTCTGTGGTGAAGAAAAGAGTAGGGAAAGGACAGGCCTCTGCACACACGGGCTTTAAAGAGGTGAAGAGCTACTGTGCAAAGGAGAGATTTCCTGTCAAGACGGCAGCAGTGCAATCACACATGTGCTCCTTTCACTCTCGTCCACTCACAGAAATGACAGCAGGTACACAGAACAAAAAAGAGCACCACCACAGGACTCAAAATAAAAGATCCCCAAGAGGAAACAGCCTGGAATGGGGGCAGGGCAACAACAGAAACACAAATTCACCCTCAGGGCAGAAATGAAATCTGACAGATGTTATAGGCCCCACAGGGCAAAGCTGAGACAACTTCAGTATTCTCACCCTAAGAGACCAAGGGTGTGGGTGGTTAATAGACACAAAGCAAACTTAAATGTAAAATCCTCTCTTTAAAAAGACAACAGGCAAAATGGCTTAGTAAGTAAGAAAGCTAGTTCTCTGCACCCATGGATGCATGGGCCTATAATTCAAGCACTGGAGAGCAGAGATAGGTGTATAACCAAAAGAGCTCATTGTCAGCCACAATAACTGAAAAGGTGAACTTCCAGTTCAGTAAGAGGCCTTTGAGTGCAATAAGGCAGTCAGTAACAGACATGTCTCAGCATCTTACTTTGTGCTCCACATGTGCTTATAGGCACACACACCTGCCACATACATGCACCACACACCATACCCACATATACATATGAATACACCAAAAAGACAACAACCTAAGAAATCAGAAAATTCATATGCAAGGGAACAGAAAGTAATCTACTCAAGAGTTCAGAAAAAAAAAAGTTTAAGATTTATTTTTATCTTTGTGTCTGAGTGTTTACTTTTATTTTATGTTTGTGCAGCAAGTGTATGCAGTCTCTGCAGAGGCTGGAAAGGAGCATCAGATCCTCTGGGGCTGTAGTTATAGACAGTTATGAACTGCCATGTGGGGGCTGGAAACCAAATGGGTTTTTCTGTAAGAGCTCTTAACTTTTGAGCCATCTCTCCAGCCCTCCCTCCCCCCCACACACAAAAAAAGTTTAAATCATTGACAAAATAAAGAAAGAAAACAAAAAGATGGGGCAGTGGTGAAATAGCTAGAGAATTGAGAAAATGCTCCAGTGAAGGGTTAGCCTAGGAGCTGGGACTGCCTTTTTTTTTTTTTTTTTTGATTTTTCGAGACAGGGTTTCTCTGTGTAGCTTTGGAGCCTATCCTGGCACTTGCTCTGGAGACCAGGCTGGCCTCGAACTCACAGAGAGCCACCTGCCTCTGCCTCCTGAGTGCTGGGATTAAAGGCGTGCGCCACCAACGCCCGGCTGGACTGCCTTTTTGAAGGGCCCCTCAGGTAGAGGTGAGCTCATGCAGTCACAGAGAAGTCTTTGTGTTAGGCCTTTCAGTTTCTCCTTACTGATTTACTTCAAGAAACCTTGTGAGACAGACATATCGAGCCTACAGTCTCTGTGATGTCAGCCCTCATGGAAAATGGCAGTACCCAGGACCATCTTCTCAACATGCCCTCTGCTGATGGCAGTAAGGACCACCTTACTTCCAGAGCCCTGTGGTCTAGAACACGGAAGTGAACTCAATTCAAATTTTAAAAATTAAAAGCAAAATGCATGCTGTATCACTCACTTCTAGTGTCAAGTTATTTAGACTACACAGATCATCCTAAGCTGTAATAAACCTCAACTTTAAAAATATTTCTGATATTCTTAGTATCATAACTAAATTTTCCTTTCCTTTCTTAATATAGGTAAGAAATAATGTCAATTGCTAGTCAGCTAGCCAAAGGAGGACCATCACTCACCACCAAACGACACATAATAAAACCTAAGAAAAAGGCTTTACAAATGGGTAACAAACAGTGGCAAAGGAGGCCACTGTAATGTACTAAAGTGGTGGCTATTAAATCAAGTATTTCAAGTGTTGCTTGGCTGGAAATGGGAATAGTTAATTCATTAAGCTGTCTCTATAGCTAGGACCTTGTGATTGGAATGGTCCAAGGGTCTCATCAGAAGCCTGGGTGGTGCTTCAACACTCCTCCTGAGCATCAGGGCCAAGCAGAAGGTAAGGGAAGGCACTGGCATTTACTAAGCACTTGCCATGTGTCAGGTCCTTTAAATACACAACATCCTCACAGGCTGTGAGACCAGATGAAGAAACAGGCTCAAAGAGAAACAAGCTCCGAGCCAAGTGGCAGAGCAAAGACTAAAACTCAGGCCTTTCTGACTCCAAAAGAGCTCTAATTCTTTTTGGTTTCCCAAACTTAACCTTTGCTGCACTGTGGAATGCTCAACTATCTGTTATTCATTCAAACACTGACTGGATACTTTTCATTCTTCAAAAGAGGAATGGACATGCCATTAAGGCAGTGACAGGCACACAGCTGTGCACACACTGATAGCACCATACTTACATTATAATGTGAGTATTATGAATGAGAAGGAAGAAGAGAAGGAATCTGAAGGAAAGCATACAAATGGTATTTTCTTTTAACCCAGTGGTCAGGAAGAACCTTTCCACAGAGCTGACTGCCAACTGAGGCTCTGCCAGCTGTACATTTGGGTGAGTCTATCACAATAGAAGGAAGCCCCCCTGATAAGAACAAGCTTGGTCAGTGTGGTAAACACAAGGCGTTGATGATGAAGATGGAGAAATGGCAGAGGTTGGGTCAAGAAGCTCTGATCTGACTGTGACAGGGGGAAACCACTGAAAGGTGTTAACATAGAAGAGATGTAACTTGATCTAAGGTTTAAAAAGACCCTGGCTACTCTGGGGAGAATGGAGTATAGAGAAGGAATGGCTGTAGGAGTTCAAGCAAGAGATGTTGGCAATGAGAACCTAAGAATGGAGATGAGAAGGGACTGAATTGGGGCTATAAGCTGAGAGGTGACTGTGAGGGCCTGCTATGGGTTTTAGGGACTGAGGAGTTTATACTTCAGGCTAAAACTATTAGGCAATGCAGGACATAAATATGACGAAGACTAGAGAAGCAAGAGAGTGGCATATGTGTTTCTTAGGTCAGCACTGAAATGTCTGATCCACAAGCAGTAGGAAGTGTCCAGCACAGAACTGGTTGTTAGGACCATTACACAGAAACCAGAGCCACATAGCCCATTCCAACAGCAGGAAGGAGTGGAGGAACAAAGAAACAAAGCAGCTGAGAACACAGCTCTGGGATCCACCACTATCCTTTAACAAAAAGGGGGCGAGAAGCAGGTGGTACAAAGAACCAAGAGGCCAGGGAGCAGGGCCAGCTGCTGCTGAAAGGCTAGCCAATGGATTTCACCGTTTAGAAACTGTTACTGACTTGATAAATGGAGCAAAGTTTCTTATGCGGGGGGGGGGGGGTAAAGAATAGGAGAGAGTGGAAGCTGTGAATATCAGCAATTCTTTTGAGAAATTCTGCCTTGAATGGGAATAAAGAAATTGGACAGTAGCTGGAATGAATGTGAAATTAGAAGGGAAGGGGCACTCTTTCCAAATGTCTAATATCAGGTGAGTCTTATGTTTATGAAAATGACTCAGAAAAGAAGGGGGAAATAATGATTCAGAAGAGGCAGGGAGCTAAGAGGTCAGAAGTGAAGTCACAAGGGGAGGACTATTCTTGGATAGCAGCAGGGATACTTCTACTATAGGAAAGACAGAGTTTGCAGTTGACTATTTGAGTCAAATAGTGGCTCAAATGTGAGTGTTTCTATCTGTTTAGTGATTAATGGAATGGGGTCATCAGTCAGTGGGCGAGGAAGAAGAGAACCTGCAAAATAGTTCGGTGATGTACCACAGCAAGTGCTAGGCACACAGGCCCCAGAAACACAGGGAATATGAACAGCTAGCCAAGGCTGGGGTGCAACAGATGAGTAGGCTTAAGGTAGGTTTCAGGGAATAGGAAGAAAAAAGCCAAGTATAAGTTAAGCAGGATCAACATGTGCCAAAGCCCTGACACAAAAGCTAGTCCAAGACTTGGTTCTCAGTACCAAGATGGGCAGTACGTCCTGTGCAGAGAAGGCAAGGCAATAACAGCACAAACAGCTAAGAAGTGGGCTACCCAGACACACAGCTAGTGGAAATGCACAGCTAGGTAGAAAAACACATGCAGTTTTAAATGACTGCCAGAAGCTCTGCAATGCCCAAATGGGAAGAGACTGCTGCAACGATCTGGAGAAAATTATGAACATCTCAGGCTGGAGAAGAAGCAGCCTGGGTTTTGGAGGTGGAGACGGGAACACCAGGGAAATCCATGCGCTTCTAGGGCCAGGTCCTATCTAGAACCCCGACGTGTCTATTACCTCTGAACTATAAAATGCATCCCCAAACACTGGCCCAGTCTTCTCCCTGGCAACCTAACCCTAGCCTGATCCCTTTGGCCACTTCTCCAATGCCATCTTTAGACCCTGTGCCAGCCTCACATTCTGGTGGCTCTACACCTATCTCTCAACTATGCCCACAGCTACAGAATCAGACCTCATCTAGGGAATTAGACCCTCTTCTGTGGTCAACTGGAACTCAATATTGTATGAGCCTTTCAAAAACAATGCTTAAGCATACCTAGTGCTTGCTCTTTTACATTTTTAAAATTTCTCAGCTATCAAATAGCACTTTACATTGAGGTACAGAGACCATATCTTTTGATGAAGAAATTCTGAATCATGCCTCCATGTGAACTGGAAACAGGTAAGGAGAGCACTAGGAAACCACACGAGGTGAATGCCAAGGAAATGGGAGAAGCAAGCATTGTCCTGGCCATCTCACTCCACCATCAACAGCGAGCTGCTTGGATAGGGAAGTGCATGACAACTAATGAGCCATTTCCTGTTCCACTCTAGCAGACTCTTCAGTCTCTCCATTTTGACAGTCCCTCCAGGTGGATGGCTGGAAAGTGTAAAGTCTCAAAGGCTGAGAGGAAGTCTTAGGTCTGTCAAAGTTTTGTACTGGGATCGTCAGACACTGGCTCAGTAATGAATAGGGACACACATCATTAGATGGCTGCTGTACCTGCATATGGTATTCACAACATCTTACCTGGACTGAGTGGCAAAGGGTAGAATTAATTGGCAAGGTATTTTTTTTAAACAAGGTCTTACTATGCAGCCCAGACAATTATCAAACTCACTGGCACACTCACCCTTGCAATACAAGTACTAAGCAGCAACTTTACTTAGTACTGATGTAGATCTATATACTCCAGATCCATTATTTTATCTTATCTTTTTAAGATTCCTGGGGGATAATTCCCATTATCTCTATTATGAAGAAATCAAGACAGAGACACATGGCACAGATCTGAATGGCAGAGCTAGATAGGGGCTCTGTTCAAAGATTTTGTTTTTTTCAGAGCAACAAAAAATCTCATTTCTAGAAAGAATCTCTAGGCCTAAGACTAGTGTTTCCCTGACCAAGGAGAATACTGACTATCTCCCACTCCCCCACCTCCAGAAATTCTCCAATGGCTAAGGAAATGCTGGGTCTATGAGTGTTACCTTCCCCCCAATCTTTGGGAAAAGATTATTGGCCATGGTTTTTACAACTCACAGGAATAAGAATACCAATTTTGAAGACTTCAGATGAGTGTTCACATGCTTTTCTGACAACTAGCTGGAGTAGAAAAGTGTGTCTACTAGGAGCAAGGACACATCACCCAATCCACCTTGTTCTCACCATGATCCCCAGCTCACAGCATCCAAGAGCACTCCCATGTGGTCCTACATGGTTGGGGAACAATGGCACCTTATACCTCAAACTTTACAAGGTTGGGTATTTAGAGGCTTCAGAAACTCTCCAGTGTTGAGTACCAACTGTGATTGTCCAATTCCCTTTGAAAATGAACTGGGTATTTCTCTCCAGGGCACTCATGTTCAGGAAATGGTAGGTATCAGGGATTAAGAGGTTGGCCCTCACCAAGCTTTCCAAAACCAGAATGTTTCCATCTTCTTATCAGCAGAAGGCTCGGTACCGCAATGATGTAAGGAAAACTAGGGTGTCTGGCTCTTGTCAAGAACAAAGTAGTAGTGATTTGTGTTTTTCTGCCTGTATCAGAACTGAGAGCTTTAATACAAATACTTTTTCTCACTATTACTTTCTTAGTCTACCCAGCAACCCTGAAAAGTGGTCAGAGAAACTGAGGTACTAAAAGGCAGCACACCTCTTCCTGGCTTCAAAACCCAAGCAGCTACCATGGATGGCCTAGAAGGAATGTGAAAAGGGAAATAGCTAATAAAGGACTAGTTTACAAAACACAAGCACACCTAATGCTTCTCCTCCTTTGTGTCACACAGGAACAACTCCCAGCAGATAGAGTGAAAAGTTTAGTTCAAGCTCAACATAAAATAGCGGAGTTGAGACAGAAATGCTGTTTTTAAGCTGATGCCAAAACCAGAGGAGATGCCAGGAGGCCTGACTCCTCTAGCTCTCGACAGTCAGGCAGCTTTCTGGGACTCACAGGAATAATTTCGGGGGAAAGCTTTCTCTCGCCTCTTTGTAATGGGCCTGAGTGTGGCTCTGCTCAAGTCCCCTCACAGTCAACAGTATGCAGCCTAATTACTTAATTGCATGACTGGCAAGATTCCTTCCCAGCCATTTCAGGAGCTCTCAGGTATACTGCACACCACCATCTGAGTCCATTTAGCAGAATGAGTGTCTTCCTCCTCAAACAAAGAGGTACCTGGGCCCATGGCTACCTGGATTCCAGCGACAGTGTGGCCATCTTTTGGAAGAAAGTGGCAAGCAGGCCCAGGAGCTCATCTTCCAGACTCTGGTCTCCACAGTTACCAGGTGTTTGGGCCCCATCATGGTCTAAAATGTTGAAATCCATGTGCTTTAAATAACCATTTTTGCAGCCGCCCTTGGCATAGTCCTCCATCATCTGCAAATGAAAGTGTTTGGTTAAACAGAGGTTTATAGAGAATGGGAGGATAGGTGAAGAAGAAAGGGATACAGGTGAGTGAAAACTGGTCCACAGGCAGGGACAAGGAAAGAAAGGGAGGATGCAGACCTGTGAGTCCATACACTCAGACTCATGTTAAGGAAGGGGTGAATTGGCATCACTTTCCTTATCCTCCATTTTACTCTAAGGTAGTACCATACCTACTGCTATGATTCAAAGAATAAAATAAGGTAAAGTTAAGTATCCAACTCACTACAGATACCCTCTGGATGCATGTTCTCCCATCCCATACCCCTTGGTAGTTCTTCCTAAGAACGTGGAATGAATGTCCTCAACCATGCGTTGGATAGTTACCCTATGTTTCATATAACATCATTACTTATACTACAGACACATACATTATGATTACTCTACTGACACTTACTAATTAACAGGGAGCTGATGTATCTCATTAGGAGGGTGGAGAGTTCTTAATTCCCATGGAGATGTTATTTACAGATCCACCTTCCTGGGTCACCGGGGTTCCCAGAGGAGCACTACCACTGAGACTTCTAGTTAAAGCCTGTTCTGGGCATGTCCTGAGATGGTACAATTAGCATCCTCTCTCCCCTGTCCAAAGCTGTAAATTTCCTCAACCAGTCTATAAATAACTCCTCTTGACTTCATTACTGTTACTGGTACACACATTATCCATCGCTCCATCTCTCCACGCTGAAAAAAAAATGATTAAGATTTTTTTTTTATATGGAAGACAAGATTCACACAAATGAGCTGTTATTTATAGTTTCTTGTTTGTCACCAATCTAGTTATTAAATCCATCAAATAAGCAATCTCCAAAAAGGGAAAAAAATAGGATATAGTAATAAAAGCAGAAATTATTATTATTTACTGAGTGCTTACAACATGCCTTTTGGTTTCAGTATCAGAGAGACCCTACACAGAAGGATAGGTTAGGGGTTAAGAAGGAATGCAGAGGCAGGAGTGACATAGCCAAGGCTCAAAATCAGTCAGGTTCATGGGATTTCGACACACCCAGTTCCACTGCTTTGTGTTCTAAAACTATCCATATTAGCTATTGCCCACTCATGACTCTGTGAACATGGATAATTTAGAGACCTAAACTTCTGCACCTACAGCATCCACATCTTACTACATCTCAATCAAACCTGCAGCATCCATATGCTACCTCATCTCATCTCAATATTTAAGGTTCTTTTAAGCTTGGAGACTGTATAGCCCAATTGTTCAGTAGCAATGTGACTAGAAGATTCTACATGGGTGGGGTTAATTCTACTGAGCTGGGTCACAGGAGTCAAGAGGTTGCAGAGAGCCACTTAGTTCTGTGGTGATATCTTGCTTATACAAATAAAGCTTGACTGAAGATGAGAGATGGAGCTTGCCACTAGCTAACCATCGAGGTCTGTTCAGACAGACAGGAAGTGAGATGGCTGGGTGGAGGGAGGATATATGTGGGAAGAAATAGGAACTCACTCTCTTTTCTGCTGGGAAGCTAATGAGGAAAAGATGGCTTTGGCTTACTCCTTCTCTTTGATTGCTCAGCATTTTCTTCCATATCTGACTCCAGGATTTTATTATTCAGATGAATTAAGAACTCCATTTAAACAGTTCCATCAAGGACTACTTGCACTTCAATAACATAACCTGATAGTTCATAAGAGTCTAGACACAAGGAACCGTATCCTAGTTCCATCACTGGCCTAATCTGTGCTCTAGATAAATCATCTCCTCTCAAAGGCACCAGATTCCAAAGCATAAAACAAACAGAGTGGATTAGATCTTTAAATACCTATCCAGGTCCAACAGCCAATTCGTAATGTTCTATAGCCACCTACCTAGTCTTTATCTCCAGGTAGGTTTCAGAACTGGCTCCATCACCCACTTTATACATTCTGAAGAAAGAGTTTTTCTGGGTCCCACTGGCATAAAGCAGACACACAATGCAGGCAGAATGAACACAAAACGGACCACACATAACTCCAGATTGCAAACTGACTTGGACACAGGGTGAGACAGAGTAAGGAATAAACTATGTTTCTACCTCATTACTCTGCTCCAAATGCTGGTCACTCTGGAAATGATTCTCATCATCTGCTTCAATTTTGATTGTGTCTTCATCCTCCTTGCTAGCTAGAAGCTATATGGAGCATGGATTAGTGTGAAAAAATGCAATAACAACAAAAAAGTATTCAGCATGAATATGTATGAACAAGTCAGTGATGTCTTTTCTCAAAAAACAAAAAAAAGCCAAACAGTCAAGAACAAAACACAAACAAACAAACAAATGCAAAAGCCATGAGATAAAAATTAGTTGAAGTCAAGAGCTACTGGCTATGGATACCCCTCCCCCAAAATAATTGGGAGCCTTTCCCTGTGAGGCTGTAAAGTGAGCATGCTCTCTGTGGCCACTGCTATTCTGCCTTTGCTAAACCCACTTTCAGATTATAGAACGGTAACAAGATTTTAGAAAATAGCTATTGATGGAATTGAAAATAGCAAAGAGCAAAAAAGTAGTAAATGAAATTTATGGTGCACCCAAATTATTCATCACTTCTCCTATTTAGCACAGGACATAAACCTCTTGTTAGAATGTCACACATGTGAGATGGACAGTACCAGTAACACTGTCATTTTGCTGACAAAAAGTCCTCATCTCTAATGAGAAGAGTGTCAGGTTGCTGATGATGACTTTACACTTTTGGAAATGAAGGATTTAAAAGACTCTGCATGAATCCAAAATGCTTTAAAAGCTATAAAGTCCCAGTGTTCATGCATTCTGTGTTCCACAGAATGGACAGTAAAAAGTTGTCAGGAAAGCAAGAGCCCAACTCTCCAAACACCCAGGTTTTGATCATAAGACATGAATTCTCTTGCAGGCAGGATGGTGGCACTGGCATGAGAGAGTTGGCACCACCACTCACTGCCTGGGCAGCATGGGAGAGCTGGCCCTGGTGGTGTGGGTGTGGGAGAGGTGGCCTTGTCCCTTGTCTGTATTGATACTGAGGTGAGCTGGTCCTGCCCCTCACTCATAAGGGTAGTGATGGAGAACTGCCCCTGGTGGTGTGGGTGAAAGTGATCTGGCCTCCCAATGGTGTAAATGTGGCAGAGCCCCTCCTGCCTCTTGCTAGCTATCACAGCTAGGAGAATTGGCCTAGCACCTTACCTGGGCAAAGAGGGAGAGCTAGCCCTATTGGCACTGGCATGGGAGGGCAGGTGGGCTGACCAACTCAGCTACTATCCAGTACCAGATCCAGGTCCAACATCTACTCCATCTAAGAACTATTGGAGCATTTAAAAGGGCTAGTCCTGCAGAAGCAAAACTGCAGGATCTCCATGACATAGGGCAACAACAGGATATCTGAAAGGAATCCCAATGAGGATCCAGTGTTAATAGTGTAGCAGAAGCCTCTAAAGGCCTCGAACTAGACCAATGATTCATTGCAATGAACACTTACTTGCAAGTAAAGCTTTTTGAGCAAAAGGGTAGAATAGGTGACAAGGGATTATGTTTTTGCTATATATCCCTGTCTGACCTGGAACTTAATACATAGATAGAACAGGCTGGTCTGAAATTTGTGTGGTCTGCCTGCCTCTGCTTTCTGAGTGTTGGGATTATTGGTGTGTACTACTATGCCCTACAGATATTCTTAGGAGATAAAGACTAAACAAGGCTACTAAACTTGTTTATAGAAACATAAAAATATTAAACTTACTCCTAGGTGCTTACTAAGAAAAAATATCCCAAAAGACTGGTATACAAATGTTCCTATCACCTTCTGTCCATGAGTCTACTAACAGAATAATGAACAGACACTAATACATTCAAGCAATGGGATACAAGAACTATTAGCTCATCTAACAACGTGAGTGGATTTAAAAAGATTATCATGAGTGAAGAGTTGACACACTATATGATTCTAAGTATGTCAAAGTCTACCAAAGAATTAAAACACAGTAGACAGAACAGAGGAGCAGGTGGGTAGTGGACTGGCACAAAGGGACAGGGGGATCCTGAAAGGAGTTTGGCTTCCATTTACAGGCACATATACTTGTGGAACTTAGCAAATATAGGCTTTCAGCTTCTTCCTTTCAAGAAAAAGCAAAAGTAACTATAAAACATATACTAGTTAAGGGCAGGAGAGAAGGCTCTGTGGGTAAATGTACTTGCCACCAAGCCTGGCAACCTGAATGCAGCCCCCATAAGGTAGAAAGGAAGAACTAACTCCTACAAGTTGTCCTCTGATCTCCATACTTGTGCTGTGGCACATGCAAACATGAAAGCACATATACATACACAAACAAAATGAATAAATGGAATACAAATTTGCAATTAAAATATACAGCTAGTTAAAGATACATATTACTATTTTAGACAAATACACTGATTCTTACAGTTTCCATTGAAGTTGCTGAAAAGATGAGAGACAATGACAATAGACAGGTAAGAAATGTTAACAAAGTCTACATGATCTCACTCAAGTAGATTCTAAACAAGTCAGGCCTTGAAATTTAGAAAGCAGTGTTACTGGGGGCTGGTGACGGTGAGGAGGGGGAGACAAAGGAGGAATTGGGAGAGGTTGACAGTGGGTAGTTAGACAAGAGCAACGTGTAAGCAGCTACAGAGTAGATGCCTACAGATAAAATAGCATACGTATCATGAAACCATAAGAATTTTTCTTAAATGATAAAATGCTTGATGAGCTAAGTACACTTGTCTTTGCTTAAACATTACACTGTATACATATGAATCCAAACAATACACAGTACTCCATTAATGCCTATAACTATTTTAAGATGACTCAATTATGTTGTTATTTATATTTTTTGTAAATACAATAGAAAATAATCAACTTAGAAAGGAAAAATGTGCTTTTTAAAAAATTATGGCTAATAAATGGTTTGAAGTCTTACATAATGACCTGAATGTTGTATTAATGTTATTTACATTTAATGGATATATTTATACAGGAAAACTTAGTATAATTTTGTTATTGTTAGTTGTTTTGTTTTGAGCCAGGGTCTCATGTAGCCAAGTTCACCTTAGATTCACTATGTAATTGAAGATGACTGTAAACTTCTGACCCTCCTGGCTCTACTTCCCCAGTGCTGGTATTGCAGGTGCCCACCACCATGCCTGACTTATGCAGTGCCCCATATAGAGTTACGTAACTGAATGTGAGGGTCACAGCAATATTGGCAACATTCAAAGGTTTCTGGAGATAGGAATGATACAACTGGGGAGCGAGGAATATAAGGCAGGAGAAGACAAGAGAGACACACAGTCTGAGTAGTCTGAGGAGCAATGCAGTCGGGACAGTCTGAGGTTCAGTGGATTGCCCCTTTCAGTCTGAGCACTGGTAGAGGTCAGAACTCTCTAGTGGCTGGTCATTGTGGTTCTCTGATCTTCAGCTTTAACCACAATATCTCTCTCTGAGCTTTTATTATTCCTGCTACCTCTGGCATCCAACATGGGGCTCAAACCCATGACCCTGAGATTAAGAGTCTCAAGGTGTGTGATCCCAAGTACTGAGATCACCTTTTCGTGAGCTCTGTTTCTCTTTTAGACTGGATGAATTTTGTGTAGCTCAATCAAGGTAGCCTTGGACTCACAGAGATCCACCTGCCTCTGTCTCCTGAGTGCTGGGATTAAAGGTGTGTACCACTACCTGGACTCTATAGCTAACTAGGGTGGCTAGCTTTGCACTCTGATCTTCAGGCAAGCTTTATTTTCTAAGATCATATGCAAAATATCGCCACGGGTTTCTGAACATATGACAACCAAACTTACTTCAAATTCAAAAGGGATTTGGGTAGCAAGTGCCTATATTGCATCATTCAACTTCAATACAGCTTTCACTCTGAACACCCAATACATGCTCCTTGCAGTATATATGTCATCACACCATGCAATACCAACTGCCTAAAACACCTTCATTCAGACTTGAGACTACTGGATGCAAGCAAGTCCTGGACATATGTACATATACTTTACTGCTCTTAGAGACACATGAATTAATTGCAGAAAATAATTATTTTCTTAGCTGGGCAGTGGTAGCACATGCCTTCAATCCCAGCATTTGGGAGGCAGAGGCAGGTGGATCTCAGTGAATTCAAGGTCAGTCTGTTATACAAAGTGAGTTCCAGCACAGAGAAACCATGACTTGAAAAAACATTATAAAACACTCCTCTGTAGTGTATGATTTGAAAAACTGCTATTTCAGTTGGTGGCAATCTCCTTAAAAAAATAAAATAACTGTTAAATGTAATTTGGCTTGAAATTAAATCAAAATTGCCATATTTTATTTTAAATTTTAGTTTATTGTGCTTATTTATCAGTGTGTCTTTCTGAATATATGAATGTATTTATTCATGGGTATATGGACCTGTGTGCATGCAGAGGCCAGTAGTGTTATAGGTGTCTAAGGACATTCCACTTGTTACCTAGGTACTAGGATCCCAATTCTAGTCATCTTGAAAGAGCAGCAAGCACCCTTAACTGCTGCGCCATCTCTCCAGTCCCGTCCAACAATTTCTGAAATGGTCTCCAAACCATTTGGAGGTCTGCTTTTTTGTACTCCATATTTACGTGAAGCAACATTCATAGAATTAATATTATAAAATCAAAATGTCAATCAACTCTGAGAAATGTTGAAGATGCTATACACCCTGCACTATAAATATTCAGCCAAGATTTAAGTCTTTAAATAAAAATAAACAAGCACATCCATCTTATTAGCATATAAATTTGCTTCTGTCTTTAATAAATGGTAAAACTATATGTATACTAAAGACTTTCTTTAAAACCCATTTCTGTATGATTTATTACCAGAAACTGTGAGCTATGTATAGCTAGATGGCTGAGACTGTGTAGAAACTCCTCAGGGGAAAAGGGGCTGCCAAATGGAAAAATTTATAAGACGTTGCTTGAGAGTCACACAAGGTCCATTTCTTGATCAATGTGACAGCCCTACTAATAACTGAACTCAATTAAATTAAGCTCTTTTATCTATCTCCATGTCCCTCCAATCCTCAAGTTTCTAAGCATATATAAGAATGACAAAAAAAGCAATATAAGTAAATGAACTAACCACTAACCTCCCTGAGTACTGCATCTTGCCAGCATCCTTCCTCTCACATACCCTCATCTAAAGACGCCAGGTTCACATGATGCATGCCATGAGTTTCAACACTCAACCACTCTCACTGTGTCCTGCTGAAATTACCCCCATATGATGGTGACTCTTCTAACATCAAGTAATAACTGGCCAACACATAAAAAACAAAACAAAACAAAACAAAACAAAAAACAAACAAACAGTGGCACCTTGGTAAGACTTTTAAAATTTAGCTCATCAAGACAACAGAGCAGGTGGCTAGAGAGACGGCTCAGTGGTTAAGAGCACAGACTGTTCTTCCAGAGAACCCAGGTTCAATTTCCAGCACCCACATGGCAGCTTACAACTACCTGTAACTCTAGTTCAGGGGATCTGATACCTTCACCCCAATGCATATAAAATAAAGGTTAAATAAATTATTAAAACAAACAAACAAACAAACAGACAACAGGGTAGCTGTAGGTCACATGGATGGCTTCTAAATAAACTACCCACATATGGGAAATGTGTATCCTCTGGGTCCTGATTCCATGGTTCTGATTAAGGGCAGTCACTTTGGAAAAAACATAAAAAATTCTATCATGACTCTAACCTACTCCTACCATTATCAAATTAAGAACTGTAAAGGCATCTGAAGACAATCTGTATGCTTACTCCATATCTATATCCATTAGTAATTACGTATCTTGGAATACAGTCTAAGGAAATAAATCCTAGAGACAAAAAAAAATAATAATAACACTTTGTAAAGACACTTAATTTGTAACAATCACTTGAAGCCATCCATGTGTCCAATAAGAGTTAGGCCATTAAACTCCAGTTCCTCAGTAAGATGGAAAGTGATGCTATGTCTTAATAACAATAACAAAGCTACATTTCAATATAAGTGACACAATCAGAAAGTAGAGTTGTGAAATGTCAATTTTGCTGTCTTAAAGCAACAGGATTAAGGAACCTTTCCCTATATTCTAAAATCCCGCCTCTCCTCTGCTCTTCCCTCCTTTACCCTCCTCATCTCTCTCATTTTCTGATTTATAGCCTCCAAAAGAATATAAACGATGCTCCACCACCTGTGGCTCAGAGATAGCTGTGGGCCTATGGGCATTTCTAGCTGTTTCTGCCTTGTTTACTGTGGAAGGAGACTGTGGTAGTTTGAATGTTATTGGCCCCATAATCTCGTAGGGAGTGGCACTATTAAGAGGTGTGGCTTTGTTGGAGTGGGTATGGTCTTGTTGGAGAAAGTGTGTCACTGTGTAACAGGCTTTGAAGTTTCCTATACTTAGAATATACCTCCCAGTGAGTCAGTGACTTCCTGTTGCCTTCCAAACAATGTAGGACTTTCACCTAACTACTCCAGCACCATATCTGCTTGCATGCCACCATCTGAAACTATAAGTGGGCCACCCCAATTAAATCTTTTCTTTCTAAGAGTTGTCCTGGTCATGGTGTCTCTTTATAGCAATAAAAACTCCAAGACAGAGACCCACACACTCTCCCAGAGAACAGCAGGCTCCCCTCCTTGCCATCTCACCTCACTCTATTTCCCTTTCCTTCTGCAGTTTCAAATTAATAGTCATCTTTCCATGCAGATCTTCCTATCCCATTCTGGGGAAAGCCAAGGGAACTGTGTTATAAAGGAAAAAGCTTTTCGCAGGGAACATCAAATTGATGTGCAATCTGACAAATGACTCAAATCTGAATCGGCTGGTATTAAGATCTTAGAGTGGGCAGAGGAAAAGGCCTCTGTTCTCCAAAGGACATAATGGGACATTTAACAGATTTTTTTCAAAGGGCAAATGAACAAACAAAACTCGGCATTTACAGCTCAAATGGAGCTGGTGAAGAAGGAGCTGCTTATTAAAAACACGGCCTCAGAGGAAGAAAGCGGGGAGACTTGTTTCTCCTGTAAGTGGCTTGCCGTTGCTCTTGGTTTTCAAAATTATCTGGAGCCCTGGAGGCCAAGATCAATAATAATCCCTGTCTCAAAGAAAGCAGACGGCCAAAGCACAGCATAAATATAGTGCATCTGAGCAATTCCCACTGGGAAGGTGGGAAAAGACAGCCCATAAACCTCTCCCAAGAAATAGTGTGGCCACAGATGTGAGGCCTGCATGTCCCTGGTACTCCAGGCTGAGATAAGAGAAGTCCACCCAGGAAAAGCCCAGTTTTGATCTTGAGGGACTCTGGTACAAAAGATCCTCTGCATTCATAGCAAAAACAACCCTGGCTTTAGAAATGATAATAATGCCCATATGATGCCAGGTTCTTTCACAGGAGAAATGGGCAAGCCAAGGCTACAGGAAGGCAGTATCTCCCTCTTGCAATACAGCTTCAGGGTCCTTCCCTGTGAAGCATGGTTACAAATGTGGGAAAAGAGACAAATGTCAGCAGTATCACCTAGAAGTGACCAGGGTAAGAGGCAACATGGAGTGAGCAGCATCTTCCTGTAAGTTATTGACATCCCAAGGCTGCACCCACACTATCCATGTTCTCGGGAGCTATGGGCACTCTCAAACAACTCTGAGACCACACCACTCATCCAGATGGGCCATCTGCAGCAAATAGCCAGAGCTAGGCCATAGTAACAGCATCACAGGATATCAAACATATCTGATAAGAGATCATCTGAGCTGGAGGAAGTCTGTGGACAGACCCAATGACCAACAGGGCCCTCAAGATGCCACTCTAGCAAAGAGAATTTCAAAGAACTCCTGCAGACAGTATTTAAAAAGGGGGGGGGGGGGGGGGGGGGGTGTTTCTGCAATTAGCACAGGACAACAAGAACTTGTTTTTTTTTTTTTTTTTTTTTTTTTTTTACCTCTGTTTGCTTTGTTGACTCAAGTCTGTCGTTTCCCTGGAAACCCATGGAAGAGAGATCAAAAATGGTTTTCTTCAGGTGCTGATTGTCTGTGTACAGGTCCTTCACAAGCTGTATGAGGTCACTAACCTGCAGGTAAGAGCAGAGGGAGATAGAGGTCTCACTTCAAGGCAGAGGAATACAACTTGTGGGCAGGCCACCTGAGCTAGCCTCAGCTTCTGTGTCTACAGACAAGATTACAATAGTATAGGTCTATAGAATGAGGACTCACCATGATCACAGCCACAATATCCTAAAGGCACTTGGTCAATGGCAGCTAACATTATTCTGTCTTGTGTCTGAGCATTTCTGGAGAAACGATTCCCCTTAGCTGAGTGATGTTTCTCCAACTATGTCAATGCTTCCTTGAGAGCAGAGACCAGAGACTGCCTTGTCTCTATACCCAGTTAGCAATATCAGTCATGTAAGTGTCCTTAACAAAACAATAACCCCTGTGAGGTTTTGCCACTGCAAAACCCCTGAGGAGTTGGAGAGGCTGTTTTATAATGAGGAGCCAGTGATACAAAGAAGTTTGCTGTTCCAGGCTGCCACAGCTGGAAAACTGCATAAGACATAGCAAGTGTCTAAACACCAACAGCCCAGGGCACCAAGGCTCAGCCCAGAACTCCAACTCTAGGCCCAGCTCTTGCTAGGCCAAGTGCACAGGCAACTGAGCAGAGCCACCTTGTTTCCCATGAGCTCCAATGATAGTGTCTGAGTTTGTCAAAAGTTCTTAACCTTCAAAGGAAATAAAAAAATCTATCTTGTCTATACATATAGATGTACAAGACACAAAACAGATATTTAAAAAGTGGATCGATGGGCTGGAAAGATAGCCAATCAGTAAAGTGTCTACCACACAAGCATGTGGACCAGAATTCAGATACCCAGCATCCATGTAGAAGTCAGGTGCATGGAAGCACATCACTAAACATAGGACTATGGGGGAGGAAAGGAGACAGATAAATTCTTAGATCTAACTGTCGAGACAATCTAGTTAAATGAATGAGCTCCAGGTTCAGTGAAAGATCCTGTTTAAAAAAAATAAGGTAGAGAGTGATAGAGGAAGACACCCAATATCAATCTTTGGCCTCCTCCTGAAAGCACATGCACACACACTATATACACAAATTCAAAAATACCTATTCTTAACAGTGGTCCTTTGAACACATGGATCTCCATGAGAAGGAGAATTAGATAAGATTCACAGGGTAAACTGGGGGTGGGGCACAGTAAGGAAGAACAGAAGGGAATGGGATGGCTGAGGTGGGGAGGGATGCAGTAGAAGAGCAATGAAAGGTATCTTAATAGAGAGAACCACTATGGGCTTAGGGAGAAACCTGGTACTAGGGTAACTCCCAAGAATCCACAAGGAGAACCCCAGCTAAAACTTATAGCAATAATAAGAGAGGATGCCTGAATTGGCCTACCCCTATAATCAGCTTGCTGAATACCCCAACTATTATCATAGAGCCTTCATCCAGTAATTGATGAAACCAGATGCAAAGATCCACAACAAAGAACCAGGCTGAGCTCCAGGAATCCAGTTGAAAAGAGCAAGAAGAGAATATATAAGCAAGAGATATCAAGATCATGATGGAGAAATCTAAAGAGAGAGCTGAACCAAATTTGTGGAAACTCATGAACTCTAGACCTACAACTGTACAAGCAGGGACTGAACTTGGCCCACCGTATGTGGCAAACAGTTGTGAAGCTTAGATTAGCTGAGGGGCCCTTGGCAGTAGGACCATGATACAAACCTGATATATGAGCTAGCTTGTTGGAGCCCACTCCCTATGGTGGGATGCCATGACCAACCTTAATGCATGGAGAGGGACTTGGCCTTGCCCCAACCTATTGTGTCAGACAATGTTGACTCCTCATGGGAGCCCTTACCCGTGAGGAGGAGTAGACTGGGGGTGGGCTACAGGGAAGAAGGGGGAGAGTAATAAGAGGCAAGGGTCGGGGGCAGGAGGAGGTGTGAGAGGGAAAACTGTGGTTGGAATGAGTACATAAATAAATATATGGTCCTTTGAAACACTGTATCATTCTAACCATCTCATAGATCTACAGACCGAAGACCCTGCACTTCAAAAAAGATGTGATGAGACAACCTGAAACTATGCTCATTCAAACATATCAACTCCTACTGCATGTGCCAGGTCCTGAGACATCAGAAATAAACACAACATAAAGACTGCATTGAAAGGGATCACACACCAAACATCTAGATACAAAGTAACCAAATAGTCACCAATTAGTATGAGAGGGATATCTATCAGAATTAGGTAAAAAGAAGTGAATGAGATAAAAAAAAAAAAGTAGCTTGCTCATTGAGGAGGGTGTGAGGAGGCTAACTATCTTCTCAGGAGAGTGGGTCTGAGCTAGGGTCTCCAGCCTGGACATGAGAATCTACCCTGGGAATCACCTGCCAGCACCATGCCCATGAGAAGCCATGAAGCAATGCAGAAAAGAGAGCACAGGCAGGAGAGGAAAGCAGCGTGAGAACAGCACACCTCTGAGATCAGGAACTAAAGAGACAAGAACAATCCCCGAAAGTGATCAGGTCAGGTCAATACCTTTTTCTTGAGTTCTTCTTGAGAAAAATGTTCCACTTGAAACTGATTGTGGTCTTCAAGGCAAATACTTAGATACGATGTTTGATCACTATAAAATGAAAACGGTTCTTCTGCACAAAAATAAAATAAAACAAAATAAAATGTGTGATGGAGAAGGGAAGAAAATCTATTACAAACATCCTTCCAAGCCCAATCCTCACGTCTTCCACCTAGAGCAATTGCAATGGGGTAGAGTGTGGTAGCTGAAGCACACAGAGTTAAAGCATGACCTTAGGGAGAAGGCAATTTTGCCTGCTCTACAGGCTCATGTCTCAATGTGTGGTTGATTCAGGTCTATAGGCTGTCACTGTGGCCAATCCTGAACTATAATTTGCCGATCAAGTGCTATACCTGGAAAACACTCCTGATGGCAAAAGTAAATGATAATTTCAGTTCAAATAAGAGTGGTTCTGCTTAGGGATGGATACACAAAAAAAGATGAGAACCCAAGCACAGACCTCAAGACACATGAAAATGGATGATGCATTTTACTGGCCCCAGAGTTGTTGTAGGAAGGCAGTATATACCAAATACAAAAACTGTCTGTCAGAACAAGTACAAAGGGGTCTCAGCTACCTGTGCATCAGGGTCTGTTTCCCATGGCACACATCATATTCTAATAGCTTACTGAATGGGGCACCACAACAAACAGAATCTGGTTTAATATACATAGCCAGTGCGGGTGGTTCCTAGACAGTCCTGGACCTCCAAGCAGCACATCATGGGACAGATGACGCAAATCAATGACCCCATGCCCGGCTCAGCTCCTTCAACTATACAGGAAAGTTAACCCCTACTCTGTCTAAAAGGATGACTATGAGGAGCAGAGGTGAAAAGGCAAGAGACTAGAGCCCTGCACCTTATGTACAGAACAGGCTCAAGAAATGTCACTCACCACAGCAACAGTTTTTACCACACAAAGACTGGGCTGAAGATGCAGAAAGGAACAAGACACCAAGACAGACTATAAGGAGCCCAGTTTGTAGCAAGGCAGAGGGCCCAGACACACTGTGATGGGTACTGCTGTGCTATCCCATGGGCCCTGGTCCTGCTGCCCTCCCTATGTGAATCTAAAACAGCAACCTTGCTACACATCTGTGTGGTTCTGTTCAATGGAGCTAGGGCAGGTAAAGTCCACTCAATGAGGATTGATTACCAGACAATGGGGTTTCCAGTCCCTAAGATTATCTGGAGCTAGAGTAGTAAATGATGCATATAGAAGGGTAAGATGCAACCCTACCATAGAGCTTCCACAGAATGAATACACCTTAACAGGACCTTCCACTAGGAAGGCTATAGCCAGAAAGAAGCAGACTCAGTCACCAGAAAGGATCATGTGGCCATTCTACCTCCTGGTCTAGGGTTCCTTTCAGTTCAACCAAGACCCTCCATGTGAAACAACCAACAGGAAAGCCATAGAAAGGAGTGTGTACCTTCCCGCCTCTGAATTTCACTGAGCTGCTCCTGCAGGGCCGTTTGCAGATTCCGATAGGCAAGTACATCTTGTTCCAGCTGCTTCTGCAGGGCAAGGACCTCTTTCAGCTCAGCCTGCATGTCGCTGGCACTTGGTAAAACAAAACACCAGAAATTATAAAACAGTTTGGTTTGTTCTTTGAGATGCAAAACCCAGCAAAGCTGTGGCTTTTATGTCACTTGAATGTTGGGTTTTGTTTTTTTCTGGTTATAAAAGTAAATGTCTTAAAAAGGTAAATATGAAAGTATAGAGAAAAGAAAAATTGCTATGATGCCCCAACTGATCAACACATGTTATTTCTCCTGAATATTTTCTCCATGAGTATTTCCACACAGTCTAAATGCCACTAAATGTGCAAGGCAAAACTGTGTGCTCATTGCTTAAATATTCTCCCACATTTTTTAAAGTTTCTGGGAACATTTTTAATGAGCATATAATATTAGACCAAGTGACTGTTCCCCATTTACTTGAACTCATTCCTTACTAGTGTCTACTACAGACATAGCAGGTAAAAAGGATCTAATTCTCCAGAATGGTTCACTGTTTGGAATAATGCCTTGAGAAGGCTTAATGTACAAGAAGAGGCTCTCTAACCCATCATCTAGGCTTCAGGAGAGAGGAATCTGATTCCTGCTATGTTCCCCAAAAGAGGTCATACTTGGGTAGGGTTGAGGGTTAAGGGTGAGGGTCAGGAGGGAAGAAAAACTAAGGAAAAGTGAATTCACATTCAGACAAACAGACCAATTCAGGGCCATAGAAATCTATTGAGTAACTCAACCAAACTTGAAATACACAGTATGAATGGATTTATCTTGAAGAGGGAGTATGGAGTTTCACTTGTGAGTCATCATAGTACAAGGATCCCAGAACCCAGGTTGGCCATGAAAAGGACATGCCTCCTAGAGCTGCAGTAATCATGGGGAACTCTTCCCAAAAGAACTTCTACCAGTGATGGACATGTTCTATATACTGTCTAAAACAGCAGCCACTAGCTAATGTGCCTACTCAACATCTGAAATGCGGCTTAATGTACCAAGGAACTGAATGTTTAATGTTGTTAAATTGAAAGTAAGTGTAAGTTTAAGTAACCACTTAGCTAATGGCTATTCTACTAGACGATGCAGATCCACGGAGGCAAGTGCCACATGATCTGGAAGACTCACACCCAGCTCTCTGAGGTTCAAGGAGATACAGCCGACCCCTGCAGTGCAGACACACTACACACTGTAGAGCTCTGAGACTTCCAGAAAGTATGACATTTGGGTTACTTTCTCAAGGATGCCCAGCAATGCAGGGGATGAAAGCACACAGCATTTTCAAAGCAAATAAGAAAACTTCCTTCTTAAACACTAAGAAATACATCATTTTTATCCAATATCTGGCATACCGTTCCCTAAAAGAGTTCATCACTGCTCTGTAACTATCTGCAAAAATGTATAAATATATGGGTTTTTCTAGGGAGAAGGCTCATAAGCTTTTATCATATTTTCTCAGAGTAGTTAGGAGCTATAGCTGGGCTTATGTGTGAAAAGACTCAAGCTCCACTTCTCCAGGTCCATCCATGGGATCATACATGTAGATTAACATACATTGGAAGAAATAAACTATTCTGTATTCTCTTCTCTGCTTGTGTGTTGAGGACAGTTCATAGTGAAGGAGTCTTCATACAAAGGAAGGACCTACAGGAACCTCGTACCTACTTTCACATCCAAACAATCACAACGGTCAATTTGTTTAGCAGACGGAAACCCTTCCAGAGGTGTCACAGCACAGCACAGGCTTGCAAGCAGCATGCTACCAGAACATTTAACCAAGGAAGCAAAGGAGAGAGTTTTAGTGAAACTCATGCCATTAGGCTGATGCTTCAAGTCTGTCACTTAGGTTTTCCCAACTCCACATCTTTGCAAGGTGTGAGCAGTCAGAACAAAAAGTGTTTTGCTCAGAGGAAAACAAGCATAGCGCATTCCTCTTAGAACAGGGTATCAGAGGGGATGTCCAGGAGCACAAATACACAGTTCAAAAGAAGACAGTTCCACTAACCAGCTCTATAGCCCCAGGCCAGTCCACTAAGCTGTCTGTTATAAAATGAGATAATTACATCTTTCCTTTGAGGTGGTTCTGGGGGTTAAATGAGATGCTACATGAGAAAGCTTGGTAGACACTCAGCAAGTGTCTACATCATTTCCCTACTTCCTCATCTGATGAGCCAGACATTATGGCTCTTCAGAATCACAATAGGGAATCTCATCTACAGAGAATCTTGTACCCACAGAAGACATTGGCCACATCTGCAAACATTTCTGGTTGGCACAACTTACTGAGATGCAGTAGTGTGGCACCAGCTTGCAGGAAGGACTAGGGATATTACTAACATCCTCCAGTACATAGTGTGTACTATATGATCTATAAAGCCTACAGAACATAGTGTGTATGGTATGACCTATAAAGCCTACAGAACAATGTGTATATTATATGAACTATGTGTCCCAGTGATCTATAAAGACCTAGCCCCAAATATCCCCATACTGCTGAGGTTAAGCAACAACTGAACTCAACCTCTGGTTGAGGGTACAGCAACAAGAGCCTCAGCTCAGAAGCCTAGAAGGGCTGAACTCTAATCACTCTTCACAGTAGGACTCTGGGAGACTTGCTGGGAAGCAAGTTGGCCCTGAACACCCTAGAGAGCAATATGGAATTAAAGACACCAACTTCCGAGTACTGCCAGTTTTAAGTGCCCCAGCTTACGATGGCTATCCTTTCCTTTCTCACTTTAATCACAAGTATTTCCAGAGTGAGCAGTGCTAAAACTACAAACAGGAACTCAACTGGCTGTCATCTGCAACTGTGTCCTCTGTTTGCACCAAAGTCTGAGGATCCAAGACCCCATAGCTATGTATATGCATGCTGGGACAAAGAGGCTAAGATTTGATGTTGTTATTCCTAATAAGTGTTACCATTTACTGAGAGCTTCTAGCCTGCCAGGTAGCACTGAAATTTACATAGTAGCAGACCCTGTGTATTAGTTACTTTGCTATTGTTGTGCTAAGACATCATGACTAAAACAGCATTAAAAAGAAAGAGTTTATTGTGGCTTACAGTTTCAGAGAATGAGAGCCCATGTCCAATATGGCAGGGAGCATGGAAGCAGTTAAAGAAGCATGATGCTGGAGCAGTAGCTCAGCGCTTCCATCCTGATACACAAGCAGAAGTCAGAGAGCAAACGGACAATGGTGTGGGCTTTTCAAACCTCAAAGTGGTGTACCTTCTAATCCTTCTCAAATAGTTCCAGCAACAGGAACCAAAGGGTCACTCTTATTCAAGCCACTATGTCTTACAAAGCCTGGTGGAAAGGAAGTGGATAGAAGTAGATAATTAAGTTTGGAGACAGGTAAGTTGGGAGGTGGACAGGATAAAAGATGGGTAGGATGAAAAAGGGACGGGGAAGGAAGGATGGAGGGAGGGGGAGGAAGGCAGGGAGAGAGGGGGGGGTAAGTAGGAAAGCATAGAAATGGGTTGGGAGATAGGCAAAGATTAGGTTAAGGAGGTAGGCAGGCCAGCCCATCTCCAAGTTACAAACACAAATACTGTGGGTCAGTCTGAGAAATGGAACCCACAATTCCAACCCTGTTAAGTGCTGTTGCTGGGATGTGGATCTGGGCCTGCAGATGAATAGGAAACATTTTAAGCATCCATTAGTTGCAGCCCTGGCCCTCTTCAGTCTCATCTATGTTTTATTCACTAGGAAAGAGCTATGAAACTAGGAGCCATTTGGATACTGGGAGTTCTCAAGAGCAACCACATCCACCCATAAAGCCTCTCTGAGCCCACCATCAATGCTGCTTTTGTCAGAGATGCTGGACAATGAAAGCAAAGTTTGTTCTCTCTCCCTTGAGCTTCCCCATCTGACTCCATGCTCTCTCCAGTGAAATGGCTTCCTGAGGTATGTTCACACCATGTTCCATTAGCATGTTTTCTGCCTTCTCTAAACTCATTTCAGATCTAAAATCTGGAAATTATCTCATAATATGGAAGATCAGTGATGGGGGAGGGGGGATGGGGAGGCCACTCCTAAACAGAGCACTCACCCAGCACCTGCTCTGCCACGCCTGAGGAACTGGTCCTTGCAGACAACCCTGACCTGAGAGAAGGGGAAGGGGCATAGAAGGGCAACTGATTTGAGGTCCAGATGGGCCTCCTGACAGTAACACTTGGGCTAATTCTGAAGGAACGCTATGAGATAGTACAGGGAAATGCTGGGACAGTGGGGCAGAAAATGGCAGGTGATGGTAGAGGCAGGTTTGCACAGTCTAGGGAACAGTGAAGAGCCCAATGTGGCAAGAGCAAAGGGCATAGGTGAAGGAAAAGGGAGGGTCATCCATGCAACTATGGAAATTTGGAGATATATTTTTTTAAAAAGATAACTAATGAGTCCCTTCCCGATATCACCACACCCTTGATCAATAAACACAGGAAACTATGTTCAATCTTGTTCCATCACAGTCACCATCCTCTTCTGTTTCTCTACTGTTTCAAAATGAATTATCAAATATCATAGCATTTCAATTATAACTACCCTGAGAATAGACAGATTGTTTACAGATATGCAATAAGAGGTCAGAACAGTCCACTTGCCTGGGGACACAGAGCTAGAGCTCGAGGCAGTAGGACATAGCAATACCACACTAGTCACAGCTAGCTCTCCTCACCATCGTTCAATGACACCAAATGATTTCAGCAATTCTACAGACATGCCTCACTCCAAGCCATGGAGATGTGGTCAAATCCCAGTGCACTGTCATCACTTGTGCAACCCTGGACAAGTCACTTAACCTTTTTTCAGGGGGAAATCACATGCAATAAGGACGATATTACTATTTTCTGCATGGAACAGCTGTGAGGAACATCTGGGACAAGGCACATGGAACAACTTCCTAGATACACAATGAAGAACTGAAAACTCATAGCATTCACTGTTTTAATGCTAATTTTGTTGCTCTAATCAGACAATTCTTTACTGATAATAGGTAGATTTGACTATTAAAAGAGACTTTTACCAGGTAACTACTTTGAAGGCTTACTTTGTCTGGTGGGACTTATTTTGCTCAGAAACCAGCAGTATTAACCAGCAAGTGTGTATGGCTGTGGTGTCTGAGAAGAAACTTACCTGTCTGAGTCCTGCAGAGTCTTTGCCAGATGGGCATAGATGCTCTGTTCCGTCTTTAAATCCCCAGCCAGCCCTTCATAGTCTGATTGTTGCTCTTCCTGGAAATGACAATGGGCGTCTGACATTAGGGGCAGAAGCCAAGGAGTATGGCTTGCCATTATGCAAGCACATGTGTCTAGCTCTGGATTTTTAAAACCACAGACAGAAGACTCCGAGCCAGACTCGAGCTCAGGCCACAGTCACACAGCACCACCTAAAGCAGGAGTTGGGAATGACAGTCTGCACAGTGCCCAAAGGCCCATTAAGCGTGGTGCTACTGGGAAGTGGTAGAAGCTTGAGACATGGGGCCTGGTGGGAGGTCCGCAGGTCATTGAGGATGCACCTCCAAGAGGAACTGTTGGACTCTACCTCTTCTCTCTCCTTTGCTTCCTAGACCTGAAGTGAGCAGATGTTCCCATTCATTGCCTGTCCAACAGTCAATCATTATAGTAACATGAAGCTAACTAATACTCAACACAAAGTAGAGAGCCATGCTACCAACATCCAAAAGCTGTTTGTAAAATATCCTCAAAGACACCTGATTCACACACTCCCGCAGAGCTGCTGGCCTCTGATGCCGCCAAAACTTGATGTTTTCAATTATAATCTAACAAAGCCTAAATAATGATGAAATGCTGTCCAGAAGATACTAAGGTCATTTTTAAAAAGCTCTTGCCAGCCAAAGGTGAGACACTTTGAATATCAAAATAATTATGTAAGATAGAAATTCACAAGATCCAAAATTAATACAAACGAATACATGGGAAGAGGCTTTTCCTTACAGTAAAATGGTAATTAATAAGTGAAGGGAGGATGATGGGATTAGAAAACATAACCATTTGGCAATCGCCACTGTAATAAACAAATCAGCCAACAGACATAAAATGATGCTAAAACTAGAGGGTAAGTGTTTGAAGATCAGGATATTTACAGATTCAAAACACTACCATCAAATTTTTCCTTAGTACACAGAAAAAAGGGCAAATGGATAGTCCAGATTCCTGAAGATATAGTCTTTGTGAATTTATCAAATCCAGCACAGTTAGTAACTAAACACAAGAACTGTGTAGCATGGAACAGAAGAGGGTGTGAACACAGTATGTCAAACACTCTGACATGCTTTATCTCTGGCACAGAGGCTGAACCTAATGATATTTGAACTGCCATTTGCCTCTCTCCCCCATCCCACTCTCACCCCCCATCAGTGCTATGCCTCTCAGGCTGTGGCCTAGTGGGACTTGTGGCCTGGTGGGACTTCTCAAGCTGCCAGCACTGGTCCTGCCATTGCCACCAAATGTAGTTTTTAAGTAAGTCTTTATTGTTTTATTTACCAATAAAGACTCAGTAGAGTAAGATGTTGGGGTAAAAATCTGCTAGTTCAAAGGGGCTGAAAAGTAAACAGCTGACCTTCCTTTTGGGCAGCAGACCCAGCAAGAGAGTTTCTCTCCACTCATTCCAAAACCAAAAAGGCCCATGGATCTCTTAAGTCCCTCCCTACTGTGTGTCTCTCTATCCACATTCCTTGCTCCTGTTTACTCTCTATGGCTAATTCCTATCAACTAGTCACTGATCCAAGGTTGATTTTAATAACAGTCTCAGAGTTTCACAGTGGAATCAAATATCCCACAAAACTGACACTCCCACCAAAGATGCACCAACTAAATCAAATCATCAAAAACAGTCCCACATGAAAAGCACATGGCTGGTCTACACACTTCAAAGGATCAAGGCCTCGAGACTAAAGAATCAAGACTGAAAATTTCAAGGTGGGACCATGACTTGGGCCCTTTGTGCAAAGCGTTCCTGAGACACCTGATGAACTGTGAACAAACCTGAGAATTAGAAGGCAGTGTGTGTATGTGTGTGTGTGTGGGGGGGGTGTATACTCATTTCCTGCTGTGGTAGCTAGATGAATGCCTGCTTACAGGATTCAGAAGTGACAGGGCTTCATGGGGCAACCTTCAGATGACTCAGAAAAGGTAAACCCTTTAGTCTTATGACTCCCTTATGAATTTCAAATTATCTCAAAAATAATAATGTTAAAATGACTGAGGTAATGTGTTCAGCCTATCTGCAGTGTACAACCAGAACTGGTGCTTCCCAATGCTGAAAAGAATATGTCTCCTGTCCTCAGACATTCTTCTCAACCTCACCAGCATATAGAGGACACACAAATGTGACCAGAAAACACAGTTGCGTCTTCTTTTCACTAACCTCTAACTGAAACCACCATTCTTTTCTATCATGTCGCCACAAACCACATGAGCACTAGAGCTAGCTCTATGATTCTGCCAGCTAAAGAAGGTTATTTTAAGTGCCAAAGATATTTCAGAACATTTATTCTTATTACTATTTCAAAGCTACTGTGGTCACTATACTCACCACTAAATTTTGTTATTTAAATACATTCATTAAAAATACTTATATAGCAAAATTTTTATACTTTGATAACTGAATTTCAAAATATTGGTTCTCTTCACAAACCAGTGAATATATAAATACTATGCATTTAAACTTTTTTTTTCTAGGAGATGTGTCTATGGCTTCAGCTGGACTGCTGAAGGAATGCTGGTGGGGGACAAGGGGGGATGGGGGAAGGAAGGCTAAGCAACCTGACCCAGGAAAACAGTGCTATCCTTCCAGGCCCAGCAGATCTTCAGACCCAGGCTGTGCATTCAGAATTGGAACAAGAAACCACCAGGTTAGGCCTGAGATGCTAGTCATCCAGTAGTTATACAACACTTCTGTAAGTCATGCCACAGACCAGGTACTCCTAAATGTTTCTGTATACAACAGCACATAAGCACCTGAGAGGACATCAAGAAAAAGAAACCTACCAAGTCCTTGGTGTTCTCATTGTGTCCCGTCTCACAGTACACTATTTCTGCCTGCCCCTTTACTAGCTGTCCTGACTTTATAGGCTTGTTGGCTTGTTATGCTGAACACTCTCCAGGTAGTCTCTCACTGAGTGTGAATACAACTACAGGTAGAAGTGGTACCTTTCCCCCAATTCTAGACATGAAGACACAAGAAGGGTGATCAAGCCCAACATCAGGATCATGGTGCATGGCATGGTCTCCAGGTCTCTGCTCCTCAGCAACATCCATACCCATCTTAAAAAAGATAAAAAAAAAAAAAAAAAAGCTCTAGCCGGGCGTTGGTGGCACACACCTTTAATCCCAGCACTCGGGAGGCAGAGGCAGAGGCAGGCCTGTGAGTTCGAGGCCAGCCTGGTCTCCAAAGTGAGTGCCAGGATAGGCTCCAAAGCTACACAGAGAAACCCTGTCTCGAAAAACCAAAAAGTAAAGATTAAGGGAATTAATCAATGCATGGTGCCTGGCATGGAGTGGACACTTGGTGTCCCAGTGCTCTGGTGCTGTGCTAGGTACTTTATAGAAACTCTGTACAGTTATAACATTATGGGGTATTACATCAATCTTCCCATCATTCAGTTGTAACTTGAGTTCACTTAACTGATAATCAGTAAAGTCAAGATATGTGCTTGTATGTGATGTCAAAGTTAATCAGAAAAGGCTAGGAAACAGAGTAGTAAATACGGAATTCTAGTGGACAGAGAGGATCTCAGCAGGCCAGGCTCTGAAACACAGTGAAGAGTACTACCATGCCAAGGCCCTGATACCCAGCCCACATCCCCATTCCTCTTCTTCCTGGCAGCTACAACAGCTCTTTGCCGGGGTTTTGAGGCCACCACACTCCTTAGCTTCTGTTTTCATTCCTTTCTCTGCCTTCCATCTCAGGGATCTCAGAAATCTCTCCCCAAGTCTCAAAGAACCTTAGAGACCTCAGAGATGAAAAGATATTGCTTACCACTCCCCAGTGACACTCCAGTGCACTCCATAGGATCCTCTCGAGCCCAATCTCATAGGAAGCTCTCTCCAGCCAAGGAAGATACCCCTCCTCTAGCCAGAAGCACCTACCCGCCTTCACCCGGAGCTTTTGTGCCAACCACCTGTTTCGTCTGAGCAATGCATATAGCAGTTATCCTAAACCAGGCCTGGTGTCTGGCACAAATCAAATCCTGCCATAAACACTCGCTGAACTGATGATTAAATAGGTAAGAGGGGAACACAGGGACTGATATGAATCTTAAGAGCAGAGATTCCTGTGGATATTTTGCATAATGGAAGTCAGAGTGAGTCAACGTCTTCCTAGAAGCAAATTGCTCACCCATGTTAAATAAATGAACTCTTCGGAGCCATTTGCGTCCCATTTCATCAATCACCTATTCCCCTGCGCTGACTCATGCCCCATTAGAATGAAGTCATTTGGCTCCCTCAGCAGAGCTGACAGCCAGTAGATCTCCTTGGCATAGAAGAGAGCTAGGTTGCTTGGGGTTGGTAGGCACTAAGACCCATGTGCTGAGACTATACCATCAACCATCTCCACCAGCATCTTCAGACATGGAACAACCAGTTCAACAGGAGGTCTCTCAGCATAGAGACTTGGCACACATCTCCATGTGTGGCTCTGCACTACATCCTCCATAGCCCTAAGAGTGATTACCCTACTCACCACTATTCTCCGGCCTATTCAGAATGTCCTGAAACATATGTCCCTGAAACACAAAAGTAGTCCACAGGCAGACACTGCTCCTGTGTAAACAAGGCCCTGGGCCCTTGATAAACCAACACAATTCTCTCTTTGATATTCTAAGATTTAGAGGGAGACATCACACACCCATTTAGGAATGACCAGGTCTACATTTAGTCAAAGACAGAGGCCAGAGCCTAGGACGTTTGTCTTTAAAGTCAATGGCACTCCCTCAGTTTTGCCGCAGCATACCACATATTATTTGTTCCCAAGTTGTTCCTCATGGCTGCTGAACTTAGATACTCTACACTGGCTTCTAGAGCATGCAACCTAGAGGAAATTTGCAAGTGTGTCTCCATTAGACCTAATCCTCTTAGAAGGACAGATTAAAATCTGCCTCAAAGACTAGAAAGGACATTTCAGAAAGATCTAGTGACTTATCAAAGGCCAGAGATCATAAGTAGCATGACTGACATTCTGTACCCAACAAGGGCAGGGGGCACTTTCT